GGTGAACAGTCGCCGGGACTAACCTGAATCATCCATTTCCGGCAATTACAATTTGCCGAAGATCGGCGGTTTTAGCTTTTCAGGCAAAGAAAGCGAAGAGTCGCCTGAGGCCTGAGAGAAAGAAATGATCCCGCTGCAAATCGACGTAAGTACCTGCCGGTCTTTATTTTCTTACTTTCTTTCATTTAGTTTAAAGAGAGTGACAAAATTACCCTTCCCCATCAGCGACGTGTCCTTCCCTGATTAGCTGAACATCACACGCAACGCTACACCTGGATGCCGATTAGCCAATCTCCTGCTCCTTCTTCTACAAGCCCTCTGTAGGAAATTGGAGCGAACGAAAAATCCCTCTCGAAATTTAGGGTTTGCGCGAGAAACCACACCACCCACCGTTAAGCGACGTCGTTCAGGCTGCCATGGAGAGTGCCTTCGCGAGCGCCTCTGCGATCTCCGACCAGCGGCAGAAGATTGAGCAGTACAAGCACATTCTCTCCACCGTGATTTCCTCAAGCGACGTTGTTCAGGCCAAGAAGTTCATCGATCACTGTCAGTATTTCCTCATCGCTCTTCGTTTTAATTTTCGCCATGATTATTATTTATTTTGGTTTATCAGCTTTGTTTGGAGGCCTTACTTGTAATTTTGTGCTCTTTCAGTGTTGTCGGATGATGTTCCGTTGGTGGTTTCCCGGCAGCTTTTGCACACTTTTGCCCAGGAGTTGGGGCGGTGGGAGCCGGAGACCCAGAAGGATATTGCCCATTATGCCCTTTCTCAGATTCGCGTCGTTTCATTTGAAGAACAGGTCCTTTTCGGACTTTTATATATCGAGAATTCCCCGTTTTGCATTTGTTTTGTTCAATTTTTGTAGGTTTAGATTTAGCATTGCCCAATGCCCGCATTGTGGCGAATATGTAGAAATCACTTGATTTTTTGTAAGACATTTAGAAATATTTTTTTATGTGGGATTAATGTGATTTAGAAAGTAGGATTTGGTTTAATGTGATCTAGGTGACGATAATAAGAGAGAAACTCGCGGAATTGTATGAATCTGAGCAACAATGGTCAAAAGCAGCTCAGATGCTCAGTGGAATTAACCTCGACTCAGGAACGAGGTCTGGTAGTAGGATGCTATTGTTGTTATTGTAACTTTTCCCTTTTTACTGCAGAATGGATTGTGGGATTAACAATGTATATGTTTTCGTGTTATTACTTCAGAGCCGTTGATGACACATTCAAGTTATCAAAATGTGTCCAAATTGCTCGCCTATATCTCGAGGTATTGACCTTTTCTTTTTTTTCCAAAGCATGCCTATTTTTCATTTTATACAATTGATGTTCTTTGGAATGGTGTTTAATGCTGTTGTTTGTTGATGCTGCAACTCCTTTATTACTAATATACAGGCTGGACTATGAATATCTGCATGTGATATATGCGTTGGAATCGATGTGCTACCTATATCTGTTTCTAGTGTCTAGATTTGTTGTAGATAGCCGTAGTGTGATCTTTACAAGTGCTTACTGGATCAAATAACTTGTTTCTAAGTCAAATTTGGAACCAGTTAGACTTTTATGTAATGTGACAATTTGTTGACGTCTAACCTTAGTACCTTACCATGGTCTGATACCTAAGAGTTCTGTTGTGTAGATGATTACTTGCTCATTGGGGAGTTTTCATCAATGTTGGTTGTGAATGTATTTGTTTATGCACTTTGTCTGATGTTGGAATGAAGAACCTTATAGGATTTTAATAATACAGGTAATAGCGTAATTGCAATTCAGTTTTTGTATTTTGTTTTGCAGGATGATGATGCTGTCAATGCAGAAGCTTTTATTCATAAAGCTTCATTCTTGATTACAACTATTCAGCATGAAGTATTGACTTTAGAGTATAAGGTTTGACATTATTGGATAGTTGATGTAAAATAATTGCATTAAGTTTGCTGCATGCGAAAAGCATATTTTAATTGCTTTTCCCCTGATGTTTTCTTCCTATCAGATTTGTTATGCAAGGATTTTAGATTTAAAAAGAAGGTTCTTGGAAGCAGCACTACGTTATTATGATTTTTCTCAGATTGAAAAGAGGCAAATAGGAGATCAGTATGTCAATTTAACTTCTTTCATTCTTGTTATTTGTACCACTTGAAAGACAGTTGAGATGAATTCATTCATTTTGTTGCAGAGAGATAGATGAGGAAGCATTGGAGCAAGCTCTATCTGCTGCAGTTACATGTACAATATTAGCCGCGGCAGGACCCCAACGTTCTCGTGTTCTTGCCACTTTGTACAAGGTTAATTTCTTTAGCTGGAGATGTATATTATGTGTTCTTCAATTCACATTTGCTGATACCTAGGGGTTTTCATTCAGGATGAACGATGCTCAAAGTTAAAAATATATCCAATACTACAAAAGGTGATCTCTGTCTCTTTGTTTCTCTCTCACACACACACACTCACGCGCAAACACACACATGTACTGCATTATCTGTTTACTTTTTTCTCTCCTGACTGTATATCACTTTTACTGTTGCTTTAATGGATATTTATTAGGTGTATTTGGAGAGAATTTTGAGGAAACCAGAAATTGAAGCATTTGCTGAAGAGTTAAAGCCACATCAGGTTATAAACTGACTTATTCTTTATCTGATATCATATTCCACGTGAGCCATAACAGGTATGTCCTATTTATTTCAACAGAAAGCACTTCTTCCAGACAATTTTACGGTGTTAGATCGTGCAATGATTGAACATAATCTTCTGAGTGCCAGCAAACTTTACACCAATATAAGGTAGGAGATATGTTGCTATTGGTTTTCCTTTTTGACTTGTGCTATTAAGGCGTGATCAGTAATTCTAACTATCATGAATTTTGTGGCAGTTTTGAAGAATTGGGCACTTTGCTGGGAATTGAGCCTCATAAGGTACAGTTTTTTCGTTTGTTGAGCCTTGTGTTTTACCTTTTAGTCACACAACATCCCTGCTCCTTTTATCACCAATGATCAAGATTGCTGATCTCCTCTCTCTCTCTCTCTCTCTCTCTCTCTCTCTCTCTCTCTCTCTCAACAATATATTATCTTTCATGTTTCATGACATGGATTTAATTTTTCTTGCAGGCTGAGAAGATTGCATCAAAAATGATATACGAGGACAGAATGAGGGGATCTATTGATCAGGTATGAATTACAACTTATCATGTATCCAATCAATAGGACTTGAGGCGTTTTCTCAAACAAACAAAAAGGACTTTAAGTCATCAGACCTGTTTAATTGTGAGAGCCACTGCCAGTTTCATTCTATGCGAGACCATTAAAATGTCTTTTAATCCACTTTATGTCCCCAAGTCTCTTCTTGTTTTCATGACTGCTGCTTCCTCTACGAAAACCTTGGAATTCCAAAGTTTTATGCAAGTGTAGGTGTATATGGTTGTAGTTTATAATGCTTTGCACTGCCTTCCTCTTTTACTGGAACAAGATTCAGAATAGTTCGTTTGATTTTGTAATATATTCTAAATATGTTGCTTTTGGTGACATTTATTATTCTAGCTTGTACTTCTTAAGCATTTACCCGAGATGTTTCACAACAGGTGGAAGCTGTCATACATTTTGAGGATGACTCGGAAGAGCTGCAGCAATGGGATCAGCAGGTAAATTTGTCTGCCTTAAAGAGCATCAACTACTCACTGAGTTTTGTTCGATTTCAAAATTTTCTTTGCAGACTTATGTTGTATCCAAATATAGCCTTGTTTACACTTTCAGTTCTCTCCCTTTAAGCTCTCCCCCTCCCTTGTGGTCCAACTCTTTTAAGTTTTTTCTTATCCTTTGGTGGCCATATTTGCAGATTGTTGGCCTATGTCAGGCGCTCAATGACGTCTTGGATAGCATGGCAAAGAAGGGTATGTCAATTCCCGTCTGATCTTCATTAGCGTAGCTTCAGAAACTGGAAAGCGAATTTGCTTTCACCCCTATACATTTTGGTAGCTGTCGTCTTGCATATTGTAGTGATTCGAATTTCTTGAGAATTTTTTCGACTGAATTTCAAATCCTGTAACGAGGACAGAAAACTCCCCTGGAACTGATTTTTGTGTATAATTTGGTCGTGGTCGGAAATCTTAAGCACTCTTTTTTGCAGCCCCTGTGGGAGGGGATTCTCGCATTTTTCTCTTGGCGGTTTAGAGTAGTTATAATTTAAAGTTGAACCCGTTGCTTGCTTCTTCAGACTTATTTTTGAATATATGAAAGATCAGAAATCTGTTGCTTTTGCCCCAACAGAACATGTATTTGAATTTTGATGTGATCACTTTGAATGGTAATTTAAGGGTGTTTTTAAGCTCATCATCCTCAAGTGGCGGTAATGCTCACCGTCCTACTTATTATCATTGGATGAATTTAAATTTTGAGGTATGTATCTATTCACTACATAAGTTTCGAAATTTAAATTTTGAGTATCACCATCACTTGAGGGTGGTGAGCAAAGATATTCCTGGTGATTTAACGCAACGCAAAATCTCATGCTTGGGGCATTGGGTTTGCAATTAATTATAAATATTTGGATATTTCATAACACTTGAACTAGTTATATCGCATGATTATAGTTCGTTACCATGTTATAATTACCCATTTACTATTGAATAAGGCTGCTATATGTTATAAACGACGAATAATTATTGTGTTCCCATCAATGATTACTTGTTAGGATTTGGATATCATCCGGTTCTAAATTGTGGGGATCCTAAGAATTCTTATATCTTAGTCATTTATCGTGCGGTCAGAAATCATGTGACTTTTTTTTATTTAAAATTAAACACAAATAGTTTTTGACAAAAACTGACCGCACGATGTACGATGAGTAGCTATGATGTGGTATCTCTAGGATAGGATCCCCACAAAATGGATTTGGAGAGGATCCTCTTCCCTAGTTATCAGTAAGTAAATTTTTTGTGGATCCAATAGGAAATAGCAATGGTAGCCGAGGGAGCCTGAAATGCATGTGTGAGTCTTTTGGTTAGGAAGTTAAGTGCCTTGACATGTGTGAAATATTAACGGTAGGCATTTTTCAAGTACAAATAATTGGTACAGAAGATTTGAAGCCGTTTCAAATGGCCCTGACTTGCCAAATGAAATGGTCTAACAACTAAATCTCACAGAAACGAACTCAAAAAAATAAAAAAGTTGATGAAATTGATCGCAGAGGTCAGCTGCTATCATCCATCACTTGGTTGTTTACAAACAAACTCTCCCTCCGTTTCGGAAAACCCGAAGATTCTAATCCAGACCCTCTAAATTTTAGCTCTGAAGTTGTTCTAAAATTAGGATCGACAGATAACGGTCTAGCGTTATGATCCGTCGTGCCTGGCCTAAACGAACTGGTTGCTCCGCCTGTATACCTGGGCGGAGGAGAGGGATACCTCCTCGACGGTCCTCTTAGGTCACCACCTCTAAGCTCCATCATATCAGGATTTCTCGAAGAAGAGTCCACGAACGACCTGTCTACGGCGCTGCTTCCCCTCAATGGAGCTCCCGTTGTACCGGATGTTGAACTAAAAGCATCATCCCCTCCCCATGAAGTGAGCGCTTCCCTTTTCTTCGCGAAAAATTGCCACGCTCCAAACAGGAAAAGTACAAAGAAAAATACAGGGCTGGTCCATAGCGTTGTGTTAAATTCGCCTTTAAATTCCGGAAGGTTAGAGCGATACATTCCCACATACCCTCCGCCAAGGCCAAGAACAAGCAGCCTTTCCCGATCACTTGCGATTAAAGGTATCACGTTCCTCTTCTCTCCATTCACCGTCTGGTAATTGAGAAACGATGATCTAATCTCATCGAGACCAGCGGAGAAGATAATCCGAGGGGCGCCAACCCTAACGTAATGCTGAGTCGAAACATTATATACGAACACCTTCTCCCTGTTAACAATAAGCAAACACCCCTTTACAGCCTGAAAAGCCAAAGGCTCATCAATCTCAAACTTTCTCTTGGACCTAACCCTGCATTTGAAGTTCATTACATCCCCCAACAACAAAATCTGAATCAGATCGCCTTCGGATGTAAGCCCGTACGCCTTAGAGCGCTCCGTGGCATCGAAAACATAGTAACGAGAATGCGAATGGTTCAGCCCTTCACACTCACTCTCCCTAACTTTCATGGTCCTCACGTCCAAAGACCCTGCACCTGTCTCCGTCAAGAACAAAAGCCGCTGCTTTAAGAAAGCAAGCGGCCTGCTTGACGGCATTGTGGAGCCGTGAACTGAACCATTCCCTCGGTAAACCGAAATCTTCCCACTCGCATCACTGGCCAACACATAACTCAACCTCCCAACATGGTGCACCTCCAAAATCTTAACCGGCAATCCTTCTCCGCCCGCGTCGAATTTCGTCACGGTTTCCATCAAAAGCGAGCTCCATTCTTCCCCACTCGCTCCCTCCCAGACCCTATGCATCAAAATGACACCGTTTTGATGCCCGGTGACCACGAAACTCTCGTTCTTGTAAACCGACATGAAGGAAGCCATGGCCGTGATCGGAGACCCCAGCAACGTATCAAACTCCACCAAAACGTCGCCGTTTCTGAGAAACACATAAACCCGACCTCTCTCGTCTCCGACGGCAACATATTTTGTAACCCCCTGGAAATCCCGAAACGGCAGGACGTGAATACACGTGGCCTGGGAATCCAATTTCACGGCGGAAACGAACTGAAACCGGTCGGACCAGAACGGGCTGTATTTCGTTACCGAAACTGACCTCACCCTTTCTCCAATTTTACGATCGGAACCAGACCCAGCTTCTTCTTCAACCTGCTTGATCAGCTTCTGGCTTTCCTTTTCTTCAACCGCCGTCAAACCCTCGTCGATCGGAGCCCCTTTTTTCGGAGGATCCGATTGTAATTTCAATTCTAATGTCGCAACTATTTCGGTTAGGTTCTTCACTACTTCCTCGAGCCTCTGCAATACCTGCTGTTGCGCATTGAGCTCGATTTCGGATTCGGTTTCGGTTTCGTTAGATTGGACGAAAAGCTTAGGAACGGAGAAAGGAGATGACAAAATGAAGAGAAAGCAGAGCAGAAGGAGCTTGCCTTTGAGGGAGTTCATCGCCGCCGCCATTGGAGCTCCACACAAGCTGTTCAGCTCAGCTCGGAGACTTTTATGCTTTCAGTCGCTACTGTTTCAGTTTCGCCATTGCAGCGCGCGGGAGATTCGGATCTGCGGTGGGTTTAGATCTGCGATTCGGAGGATTTGGAATCGAGTTTTTGAGGAATCTGGCGGTGGCGGTGCGGCCGAGTGAGGGCGGTCAGCTGAGCGACCGGTTGTTAGAAACCTCTCGTCATATCACCTGTGAGCTTTGGACTTGGGGTCGACGTACGGATTCAGCTCGGATTAGATTTTCAGAGTATATTTTGGATTTTTTTTTTTTCAGAGTTAATATTTTGGAATTTTAGGACAACGGTAATGGGAAATGTTTAGAAAACTAACCAAATTTTGTACCCAAAATAGAATTCTAGCCACATTTTTAAATATAAAAATATTAATACACCCTTCAAATAAAGTTTTCTCAAAAAAACCAAAAAAAAAATGTCAACCATGTAAATTAAACAAAGCAAGATTCAATTAAGATAAGGAGATTCGAAGTAGAATTGAATAAGTTCAAAGTCACTCGTGCTCCTTGAAGTTTCTTAAACAACCCTAAATCCCAATTCAATCATAGAAGAAAACAAAATCCAAAGTTCAACCTTTGGAGAAAATGAGAGAAAAAGAGAAGGGACCATCGTATTTTGGGCTTTTCACCAATGATTTGGTTCTGGAGCTGATCTTAGAAGTGGAGGTCCCAATTGAGGGGCTGAGATGTTGAGGAAGGGCATCGGACACTAAAGTGAGTGAAAGCCTCGTTGTAAGCTTGGTGGTGCAAGTGCTCGAACTTAAGGATTACATCGTCGTAGTTGAAAATCAAAAATTGGATAGCAGAAGAGAAAGCTGACCGAGACTGAGAGTGAGAGTCGTCTTCATGTGGAGGAAGTCGAAAATTTTTTGGGGGTTCGGAACTAAACGAAGGTTGTGTGTGAGAGTATAAAAGAGAAATAGGGGGAGGAAGGGAGAAGGATCGTGCTGCATGCCATGGCTAGCTGTGCTTGGGTTGGGTTTATGTGGTTTTGGATTATCGTCTAAAAATAATAGAGATGGCGGTAAAAGACAGCCAAGCCTTTTGCTTTTTGGTTTTTTTTTTTAGAAAACTTTATTTTAAAGGTGTATTAGTATTTTCATATCAACTTTTGATTATAATTATTAAAAAATTTAAATGATGGTTAGAATTCTATTTGGGATCCGAAATTTGGTTATTTTTCCAAATTTCCCAACGGTAATTGTAGTAATGTTCTCTCAACTTCAATTAAATTGGAGCAATGATTCCTTAACTAAAAATTCATTATCATTGGTCCCTCAACTTATCAAAATGTGTAGCTATAGTCATTTTCATCAGAATTTTGTCAAAATAAATTATGTTGGAATGACCATTGTTACTATTGGGTTCCTCAACTCATAAAAATATGTAGTTACGGTCATCTTCATCAATGTCGTCAGAATTTTGTCAAAATAAGTTATGTTAGAAAGACTATTGCTTCAATTGGATTAAAGTTGAGAGATCATTGCTCCAATTGGGTTAAAGTTAAGGAACCATTTCTCTAGTTGGATTAAAGTTTAGGGATCAATGGTAATGAATTTTTAGTTGAGGGACCATAGATGCACATTTTGGTGAGTTGAGAGACCAATGGTAATAGATATTTAGTTAAGGGATCATTGCTCCAGTAAGTTAAGAACTCAATGCTACAATTTACTTGTGTAATTATTACGTATTAAAAGTTATGGCAGATAATGTTTTATTGTAATGGAGAAATGTAATATGCATTAACTTTGATATGGATTTAATTCTCAGAATTTTCTCTTTCTTAACAATTAATAATTTTAAATTATAAGATTAATTTTGATTCTAATAATTTTGACTTAAAATTTTAGTCGAGATTACTTAAAGTGTGAATTTAAGTCATTTTTTTTCTTTAACTTTTTTTAAGTTAAATATAAATGTTATAGTAATTTAATTTAAAAATATATAAATTTTGATAAATAAAAATAATAATTAAATATGCTTTAATTTTGGACCGTAAATTTACCGTTATATTTATTTTATTTATAAATTATATTTCAAAATAAAAAAGTTTGAATTTGGATGTTGGATCACCCAATGACCCAATCTTTACAACCATCGAATTACAAAATAGTTGTTGGGATGGAATAAGGTGAAAGACAAAGTTGTCAGCGAGAGAGCATCACCCGCTACAACTTTGTTGCGTGCAAGAAAGTGGGGCATGTCTAGAGCATGATAGTCTTCAATTTCTTCGTGCGTATTATGGGAGCCCACCACTAACATAGCTTACTTTTTTTATCTAAATATTTCCAAATTTTAGGTTTTATCACGAACTTAAATTTAACCTAAAAGTTTAGCCCAATTGTGAATGAACTAAGAGCAAGAGGCAATCACGTCTTTCATTTTACTTGAACACCATTCAGGATCAATGTTTCTTATGCACACACTAGGTTCTTCTGTATACATGTCCGTTCGCCCGCTTCGATTTCCTTCCGTCTTCCAATGAAGCTAAGACGGATTCGATTTGGTCAACAGTAATCTCCCCGGTGCATCGCTTTGAGGACAAGGAAGGCTGCCTTAATACCGTGAGTAACGAAGATCCAGCTGATGTGTTTGTCCCCATACCAGCTTCAGCTGATGCCTCCGCCTGCGCACCCGCTCCAGCTGATCTGTCTATCTGTGCACCAGCTTCAACCAGTGTTTCTGTATTCGCAACAGCTTCAGTTGATACCGTGTCAGGTGACGATTTCTGAATACCAAACTTTGCCTTGGACTTGCTAAGCTTGGCTGTAGTAGTCTTTTTCGGTAGAATCTCCTTCTGTATCTGCATTTCAGTCCATAACCGGTTAATATTCAGTTTTCGATAAAAAAAAAAAGTGATGGTTTGGCGTAACAAGTTATTCCTACTATTTCCCATTTGGCATTGATATCTTACGGATTCTTGATCAGCAGAAGAAAACCAAACTGCTAAACATACCTAGTGCAACTTTCAGAATAACCATACAATAAGATCTAGATGTGCTACCGTGTCTGAAGAATCCTCCAACATTGAGCTCCTACTATTGCTGTCACCTCGTACTAAGATGAAAGAACGAACTGTGCTCAGTCCATGCTTATTGGATGAGGGCAGAGAATGACTTGACCCCCGACCTAAGAAGGATGACTGCAAAATTTACGAATAACAGAGTTGTGATCAAATGGCATGTCTTACAAAAACTTGGCTAAAACACCAGGGTTTATGTTTCTTTGTGCTGTTCCGAAATAGCAAGATAATATTCATGTTGCATCTACTTCTATATCAAGTTACCTTTGATGATATGCTCCTGTCTCCTCCTGCAAGCAGGATATTGGGGAAGGCTGCAAAATAAAACAGTATGACAGATGACGATCAAGTTAAAATCAAAATGAAATCAGCAGACTACAAGGAAAAAATTTACACAACGGTAATATATGATAAATAACAGATCTTACAAGGGGCTTTGGCCTTCTTAGTATCAGGCGCAATATTCAGTTTCTTTATATGACCAAAAACTTCTCTTGAACTCTCATCCTCTGCTGGTGACAAGAAAGTAGCCTGCATTTCCTGTTTCAAATCAAAATGTTCTTGTAAGTTAAAAGAATATGTACAGAAAAAATGACATCAAATGCAGTTAAAGAACGTTAGCATGGATAAATGATTTAAACAATGAAAATACTCCACCGTCATAAGGTATAGTGGACCTAAATTTGAAGACACATTCAATAAACCGATAAGAACTCACAGCTTTCTCAGACAGGCACTGTTTAGATAGTCTCTTTTCTGTCTCATCATCGTCAGATGACAAGTATACATCATCGTTATCAGTATACAGTAGAGGCATCATTTGCTTTATTTCTCGTAAGTTCATTCGCACAGCATTTGCTGGTGCTGAATCTTCTGCTGCATCGTCATCACCAAGCTCTTCATCTTCTGCATTTTCATCACCAAACTCTTCATCTTCCTGTCCCTCTGCATCTTTCTCTTCAACCAATGCTGTTTTTTTTCCTTTAGAACCAAACTTCAGCTTCTGCATAAGTTTTTCTGTTCCAGAGGCATCCTGTTGCTCGAGCCACTTTTGATGGAGTTCATTCCGCCTTTCATCATCAACTGGCCTTTCTTCATATCCAGTTGCTATCATATCATTAAGCTCCGCAGTGTCTCCATCATCCTCATCTTCGTCAGTATCTTCGAACCGATGTAGGTCATGATCACTATCGTCTTCTTCCTCAGCTTCATCATCCACAAAAGCTTTTACAGGATCACCGATTGGAGATGAAGGCACGTCAGCCACTTCAGGAGAACAAGGAGCAATATTTTCTTTGTCATTGTAGTCCTCCTCGTCAGAAGAACTACAAAGAGAGAAGTATCGTTGTCCATTTACCAGAATTTTTAAATCCAACTTAATTAATTTTAGGAAACATTTGAATGCAATAATGACACAAACTACTTGAGTGCTTCACCTTCACAAGATATGAATACAAACAAATAACACTTACACATCATCAGGAGGAGCAGAGTCAAGTTTTAAGTTCATGGCAGGTATGGACGGTGCAAAAACCTCTTCCAGCGGACTTTTAGGATCATCATTTGGCAGATCATCCTTGGAGTCGGTAGTCTGGGAATCAGAAAACAGGTCCTGCAACAATGCACAAGGTGAAACAGTTATGCTCAAATACAAAATCCTCTAGAATAATGATAAATCTGGTTGAAATGTAAAAAGAACCTGAGTATCATCAATAGGTGCTCGAAATGTTTGTTTGGGTTCCTCGTCAACATCCTGCAGAACATATACATCCATTAACTGAATCTCAAGTCTGTCTCAACTTAATGCAAAAGACTATCAGGAGGGTTTCACAGAAAGAATATTTTAAGACTACTCAGGTGTAACATAAGAAGGATTGAAATGATAACCATATTATTCTTGGATTACCAATTAAAAAGCCCTCTTTTTCCACATTGAAAACCGTAGTTCTAGCTCTTTCCAAATCACAAAATTTTGTTTGCGTTAGTATTATAAAAAGTAGCTCATTACTCAAATCCATGGATGCATATATCCCTATCCCATTATTTGTTGTTAAGAAGAAACACTCGGTCAATGCACTTTTACATCTACAACAACAACAACAATAAAGCCTTTTCCCACTAAGTGGAATGCACTTTTATATCTATTAAAACAAAATTGATCAAGAAACTCGAATTCGATTTACCATCCCGGAAGGAGCATTTTCACCGTTTGAATGCTCCTCCTTATCATTAGACCCATCTTTGCACACCTCATTTGCACTATACCCCTTTTCAGTCTGAGATGCAATTGGCTCCTCAGTTGCCGCTTTCAGTACCTTATAATCTCCTGTACTACTACATCTGCAACACTCAAAAGACCAACAACGAACTATTAATTATTTAAATAAACACTAAGACCCTACGAACATATCTACAGTTATAAATAGAATACCAACTTTTGTGAAACCTCCAGTTTCCTTTTCCGAATCTTCTCCAGAACTGAAGATATCGGCTTCTGAACAAGCGGTATGGGTTTAAATGCTGCATCTCTGGTTTCTAACACGGGGAAGATGATATCGAATAAGACACAAGTAAGACTATACATGGCAAATTAACTATTTAATTAGCATCACTTTGTTTGTACCTCGCAAAAGTCTCTGAGATTCAGCATGCAGTTGCTTCAGATGCTCTTTTCTTTCCTACAAAATCAGAATAATTTAGGACTAAGCAAACAGTATAAATTAATTTCAAACCAATTTTACTGAATGCAACACAAAATTTCGCAATACTTTTTCAGTCGTTCTCTTGCCCTTGACAGCTGCAGCTTCGCTCTTGGCCCTCTTGCTCTTCTTCATGTTCTCTTCTTCCTCAAAGCCATCAGAACTACACCGTTTCTTATCCGTCTCTTCTACCCTCACATCATCACTTTCTTCCGGCATCTCCCAGTTTCGATCTTTGCCTTCTTCACCAAACTCCTCTTCCACAGAATCAAAATCCAAAACCCTCTTAGCTCCATTGCCGTCTTCACCGCCGCCCAAACCATCAAAATTCGACTTCATTTCACTTTCACCGCCCAAACCATCAAACCCGGAATCGATTTCACCTCCACCGCCGAACCCGTCGGAACCAGAACTCATTTCACCTTCACCACCGCCCAAACCGTGAAACCCGGAATCAGAATCCCCTTCGCCGCCCAAACCTTCTGATCCCAACCCTAACCTCGACGGCTCATTCGATTCCTCCAGGCTTAGAGCTTCGAATTCAGAGGGATTCACTGGGCCACTCTCGGATTCGTCAACGGGAGGCTCTTCGGAAACCCTAATTGCTTTCTTTAAGCGCTTCAGCTTCGTTTCGCGGACCGGAGGAGCAGCCTCCAGTGACAGTAGCTCAAAGTCATCGTCTCTGTCCATCTCTGCAATTGAATTCCTCGGCGTAATGGATGAAGAAAAATTAAATTAGGGTTTAGGGTTCTGTAAGATTATGAATTTTTGCGGCGGATCTGATTCAATACCTGAGGAGAAAACAGATAAAGGGCAGCGATGTGTAAGCGCCAAATTATTTAAATTTCTTTTGGGGATTTGTCAGTGCCGCCAAATTTACCTGCTTTCATGACGAAACATCATGACGGTCGGATTTTTCTAATTTTGGTTAGCGGTTGTGATTGTAGCTTTGAGGTCAAGGTGATAGGTAAGTGTACCAGGAGGATCCTCTTTGGATCTTCTTTGTAGAGAGATTTTTTAGTGTAATTGGTAAACGGAGTGGTATACCACGTATCACTATATAAATGGTGGGATATGTGTGCTAAAAGTTTAGTAACTTAAAAAGTAAAATTACTCACTACTTATATAAAAACACGTAGTGTACCCCTCGTGTTCCGGTCACAATGAAAAATTTCTCCTCTTTGTGAGGATCTTCAAATCGTGTCCGTTTATTGTATATCGTGCAGTCAATTTTCATCAGGTACTATTCATATTTAATTTAAAATAAAAGTATTTAAAATGATTTCTGACCGTACAATTTACGATGAACGGACACGATTTGAGGATCCGTCCTCATTCGTAATTGTATACCATTTTTTTGGAATAGGTGATAGTAGTGTTTACTACCTTATTTATCATAATTAGATAAGTTTAAATTTTGAAATCTGTGTAGTGGATCAACTCTAAAAAATATAATGGTAAACATTACCACCACTTGAAGATGGTGAGCAAAAATGCACTTTTTTTTTTAAAGCATTCAATATTATCTATGTTTACAATGGTTTAAACCATAAAAACTTGGTTCGAATTCGCCTTTTAATTCATAAGCGCTTATTCAATCGTTAAGTGGCTCAAGTTTACATGTTATCTTGGATTCATAAACGTATTCAACTGTTAAGCTCAACAATGTAAATATACTCTTGAATTTTCGTAGAGAGTATTTTTCGAAGTTTTCTCAAATATTATTCTGAAATTCCAATTTGAGAATTTTATATCACGATATTATGCGTCCACTTATATTATAACACGTGGTTAGCTGTGTATGACTCTCCAATTCTAACTCTGCAGCACAGAACAAAAAACGAAAGCTGAACACAGAAGATTAAGCCTTGAAATTCTTTGAATTTGAATTTACTTGCGCGCTCACTTCCTTAGTAAAGTTCATGAACCATTCTCAAGCAAATCAAAGATGCGTATTTTCAGTATAAATTAGCCCTAAACAGGCCAAAGTTCCTCCAAGAGAAACATTTCACGTTGCAAACGAAGTTTTTGGTTGCTCGGACCATCGAAGATTAAATTTTCAAGAAGATAGTCGATGCTACCCGTAACAAGATACCATGAATTTTTATCAACGATGTTTAGAGCCATCGTGAGACAATTCTACATCGTTTATCAGACTACAAGAAAAGATAACAACAATGAATCACATTTCAAGATCCCACGTACTCTCGGCAGTTAACTTTGGCATCTTTCGTTCCTCCGCCAAATTGACAGACGCTGAAACCTGGAAAGAATACAAGAACGTTATCAGGCAACGCTTGATTTTAAAACAACAGAGAAGCAAAACGCTACAAGATTAGAAGTCATAAGAAAACACTCGGAAGCAACATTCCCAGAGTACACCGAGTATGAGGCAATAGTTTCTTTACATATGAATTTCTATGATCCGTCTAAATTGGAAGAAAAATGTATTACTAACATTTAACTGATGGCAACATAACGATCGAACAACTCCACTGCAATACCGCTGTGCACATGAAGCGTTATCTTTGATGCTACTACCATCAAGTTTCAATCCAACTACCCCACTAGTAGGACAAACCACAGTTGTGGCTCTGGTCACTGCCACAACCACAACCCTTAACGCAAAAAACATCAGACCGCCTTGTTTTGCAACACACGAGAGTTGGAGGAACTGAGTGTGTTGAAAAATTGATGCTGCTTCTTTGCAATTCATAGGACAAACTGTCACAATAAACCCTTGTATACTTGGACTGACCGACGTACAAAATGACATAACAAAAACAAAATTTCAACTTCATAGGGGGCAAAACTGCAGCCGTTCCAACAGCACCCTTTCCGGAGTGTCACACACATCCGATTTCACAATCATCAACTCCATCAACACCATCGTGTGGAAAGACCAACGTCACCCTTTTCCCCCAACTGAGGTTAATCAATTCTTTAGCATAATTAAATTTCGCTCGAATACTAACCGAATGCAATGACATATCCTAAGTGCTAAAAGCATACCCTACTCAATCTACTCATATCAAATCTAGTGAAGACGCGCGGAAGCCCAAGATGACACAATTGTCGACAGAGAGAGGAGATCGTTTCCATAAAACACATACTTACGCAATAATCGATTTACACTCACTATGTTAGTTATTCAAAACTAGGACCATAATCCGAAAGCAGGCACAAATCATTAACAACCCAAAATTCAAATTCCATACTTCATTCAAACATCAAAATTATATTTGCAATTAGAGCAACCAAATCAAAACCCACTAAGTAAACCAAGAAATATCAATTTGAAAAGCTTAATTACCTTAAAAGTGCCATTGATTTTAGAACTCCTCGACCACTCCAACCCCAACAGCTTGCTCGATGTTTGGTACGAAGCCCTGAGCACATCATCATAAAACCTCCGGGACACCGCGAAATCCCACGAATCCTTGGCCAAATCGTAAGACGGCTCAAACGTCGTCGCTCCGCCGTGCAGATAAGAGTACTTGAACTTCCCGTTCCTCGAGCCGAGCACGTGATTCGCCGACACCTTGTTGGCCGAATCGAGCACAAGGGTCCCGTCAAGAATCGTCCGGTTGTCTCCCTTCATGTGAATGTAATTCAAATTCAACGGCTTCCCCGCAACCCTAACCGAGCTCATGAACTGAAACCTAAAGTCCTGCACACACCCACAAGACAAAAGCCACCATTTTTACAGTTAAATTCACACAGGGCACCCAATTGAAACCACACCCAGTTGCCGAAATCTGCCTACCTTTTTGGGGACGTTGTAATCAACGATGAAGAAGCCGGGTTTCTCGACGGCGAGGACCAGGCCGTGTAAGCTGGGTCCGGCAGCGAAGGTGGCGTCGGTGAGTGAAGCTCGGAACTTGACATCGCTGGCGAAGACGGCGACGTTTGCGGCGGCGCCGCTCTTTTCAGTATCGTAACTGCCCTTCAAAGATGCCTTCATCGTGAACGATGTGGCGGGTGGTTGGGAGAAGGTGAGAGGGAGAGGAGATGCCTCCGGTGAGGATTTTTAAATTGTTTTCTTGTGAATTTGTGAACTTTGGAAATGTCTCTGTTTTTGGTTGGTCGTGCGATAGGGCGCCTCCCTCAACACATTTTTTTTGGTTTTAATTTTTTAGCCAATTTAAAATTTTTATTCTATTTATTTTTAATTATAGCAGGTCAATGGCAAACGAAATGGATCATTTCCGAATCCTTTTCACCAAATTCATCAATTCAGACCCTTAAAATTTGATGGCTAAAAACATGGCCCTTTAAAAATTATAATAATTTTTGTTGTTAGATCAAATTTCAAATGTCCGAATTGATGAATTTGGTAGAAGGGATCCGAATGATCCATTTCCAATGGAAAATACTGTTTACTATAAACAATAATTACTTTCTTGCAGATTCAACAGTTTTGCCATTATCATAAGGATTGCTATTTATGGACAGAGATCCTAGCCCCCACCAAATCCTAAGGATCCGGAGGATCCAGACCTTTGAAATTTGATTCAACGATTACAATTGTTATCATTTTAGAAGGGTCCTGTTTGTAGCCGTTTTATCAAATTTTAAAGATCTGGATCCTTAGGATTTGGTGAGGTGAGATCTGGCTGGGATCTCTATCCACTATTTACCGGTTGGAATGTATAATTTTTTTTTTTTAATTTACAACCTAATTTTTTTTTATACAGTACATATATTTTTGCCGGAATTTTGACTTCTTGGTCTTGTCATTAATTGAATTCGCAATGACATGGATATGAAGTTTAAGGAAATGTGGACTAGATTTTTTTGCTTTTATTGTTGCAATGTTTATCTTCAATCAAATTTTGCTGAAGGCTATAATTTTTATGTATATTTTTGCGTAAATAAGTTGACTAGGTTAGTGTGGGTTGTGATTCTTTTACAATTGAGTTCGAACCCTTCTATGAATAACTAAAATTTGAATATCGATCAAGTAAAAAACATTAAATTGTAATTTCTAATATAACAATTAAGAGAAATGTTAATGAGACTTTATCAAAAATAAGATAATCTATGAACTCTCTGCCACCTTATTGTGAACACGGAAATTTCCTGAAACGAAAGAGACAAGAACAACGTGCACAAACAAATATTTGTATTTGATGATTTTGGGTTACAATCTCTCTCTATTTTGATCCTCTGATTCGATCTCCGTAAGGTGTTGATTTGTGGATGTTTCGTTGATCCAAGGGCCGTCGAGGCTTGATCTTGGATGAACTATTGGAAGTTTCTTCAAAGGGCCGTGGGCTTGATCTTTGAAGGTGGATTTGAGCGGATCTTCAAGGAACCGTTGGGGCTTGATCTTGAGGATGAGTGTTTCTTCAATGGCCGTTAAGGCTTGATCTTGAATAACGGTGATGAATAGATCTTCAAGGGCTTTTGGGCTTGATCTTGAAGAACAGTGATGAACGGATTTTCAAGGGCTTTTGGGCTTAATCTTGAAGAACAGTGATGAACGGCTCTTCAAGGGCTTTTGGGCTTAATCTTGAAGAACGGTTGGATGTGTGGATTTGTCGACGTTGTTGATCCAAAGGGCCGTTGGGGCTTGATCTTGGATGAACGGATGATGAACGATGGTGCTTTCTTCAAGGGCCGTCGGGGCTTGATCTTGAATTGGTGGATGGTTGATCCAAGGGCCGTTGGGGCTTGATCTTGGAAGAACGATGAACGAAGAACGAAGAACACTTTCTTCAAGGGCCGTCGGGGCTTGATCTTGAATTGGTGGATGATTGTTGATCCAAAGGGCCGTTGGGGCTTGATCTTGGAAGAACGATAAACGAAGAAGACTTTCTTTAAGGGCCGTCGGGGCTTGATCTTGGAAGAACGATGAACGAAGAACGAAGAAGGCTTTCTTGATTCTTCAAGAACCTGGATGCTTGAGAGCTTCGGAGTTTCAGAGCTTCAGAGCTTCAAGGTGTAATATGAATTGGTTCTTCTCCCCCCTCAAATGAATGAAATGGGTTTGTATTTATAGAATTTTCCAAGGCCTAATTTTGAATATAATATCCCAGATGAAATAAGTCGTTTCTGCCAGGTGTTGACACGTGTCCTATTTGATGACTTTTCCAACTCATTTCAATTTTCGTTGAGTCACACGCTACTTGTAAAATTTATGTAATACATGAGCGTTGACACTTTGATTTATCGGTCAACATTTATTTACCGAAATTTCGATGTCTACAAATGCCCCCACTTCAAGGCACGTCGTATACATGTGCTTGTCACGTGTAGGAGATGCGTTTTGAAGTCCCTTACTGTAGATGTCGATCCAAGGGCCGTCGAGGCTTGATCTTGAATTGGGCTGGAGATTTCTTCAAAGGCAGTTGAGGCTTGATCTTGAATTGGGCTTGAGATTTCTTCAAGGGCCGTTGAGACTTGTTCTTGAACTTTTGTTTGAAATTTCTTCAAGGGCCGTCGAGGCTTGATCTTGAAGGTTGAAATTGGACCACAAGGAGCTTCATGTGGTAGATGATCTTTGGCTTTGGTAGTGGGTGAATCGGCACATATTTTGTTGCGCTTGTTGACTTTCCACAGCTTTGATCTTGAACTGGGTTGGAGGATTTTCTAGATTCCTCCAATTGTTGATTTTCCACAGCTTATTCTTGAACTAGGTTTTGATTCAAGGGTGGTAGACACTTAATCTTGAATCAGACTTGTGATTTCCTCAAGGGTCGTCGGCTTGATCTTGAACTTTGACTCGAACACATGGCAAGCAGGCACGAGGTGAAGGTGACGACTTGTTGCTTTGTTCAATCTTTCCAATTCACACCTGAGCAGTTTGGTCAGCGGTATGATCTTCAAGATTGATGGGCTCTCCTTCCAGTTGGTGACTTGGTCTTTAAGGATTTGATTCAAGGGTGGTGAATCGGCACGTGCAACCCACAACGCCTAGTAAGTCGACCCAAGAATTTGAGGGTCAAAACGAGTTCACCGTCCTTAGGCAGATGCGGCATCTTCTCGAGTTCTTCATCTCAAACTCTTTCTGCTGAGTTGACTGTGCATGCTGCATTCTTCTCTGCTTGTTTCTTCAGGCAGATGTGGCAGCTTCTCGAGTTCCTCAGTTCGGACTCCTTCTGCTGAGTTGACTGTGCAGACCGCATTCTTCTCTGCTTGTTCCTTCTGCACCTTGTCTCCACATGCTGCAAGGTATCATTTTCATTTACCTTATCTGTTCTCCAAGCAGATGTGGCAGCTTCTTTGAAAGTACAGCAGCAGTGGAAGGCGAGTACTCGAGAGTAGTGCTAGGTAGGCAATCAGGGAAGGGTTCCAAGCAGTCGGTTCCTTACCCGAGTTTGAGTGGAAGTTCCGGCATATTGTTTTCTTTATCCTTGTCTTTGTAGGTAGGAACAAGGACAAAGGAAAGGACAGGGAGAGTGCATGATATGAGATACTCTTGCTTTCTACCCTGGTGATATGAGATACTTTTGCTTTGGAGTCATTGGCTTGCAGATGTACCCCAAGGAATAAGGAACACTGAATGACTCGAGAGGTTTCGTTGGGAAAGCATTTTTGGAGATGAAGAAAGGCTCTGTATGTCTGCCTTGTTATGGAAGGTGAAGGTGGACAATTATAGGAGGTCCATTAATACCTGTAGATGTACTATTCTTTCACTCGTGTCGGCAACCAATGCGTGATTGATCAGTATGGCTTCACGTGCTTTCTTCTTTATCAGAAATCTTCGACAAATTGTTCGTAATTTTCGTCAAGCTGAGTGTGTATGTGATAGGTGTTGACGAGGATGAAAAAGACTGGCGCCTCTTCGATATCTGGGATCGGCGCTTCGACAAATTGCCTGTGATTTCTGCAAAGCTGAGTTTGCGCGTGACGGGTGCTGACGAGGCTGAAAAAGACTGGCGCCTTTTCGATATCTGGGATTGGCGCTTTAACAAATTGCCCGTGATTTCCGCAAAGCTGAGTTTGTGTGTGACGGGTGCTAACGCGTCTGGAAAAGCAAGATGCTTCTCCGATTTCTGAGCTTGCCTCTTCGATTTTTGAATCGGCATTTTCGAACTCTGAGCTCACCTCTTCAATCTCTGAAATCCCGTCGAGTGCCGATTTTTTTTATAGAGGTACGCAGTTCGTTTCAAAGCACACTTGAATTTTCGCTTGTAGAAACTCCCTTCTTGCACTTCTAAGGTCTTGATTTGTCCGACCTCTTCTTTCTTCAACACCTTTGAAAATGTCTGGACCCTCCGACCGTCATTTTGATTTGAACCTTGATGAAGAGGTAGTCCCGTCTTCTCCAGATAACATATGGCGCCCATCCTTCATATCCCATACTGGTCCTCTTATCGTTGGGGATTCGGTGATGAAGAATGATATGACCGCTGCGGTGGTGGCCCGGAACCTTGTCACCCCCAAAGATAACAGACTACTTTCCAGGCGGTCTGATGAGTTGGCTGTTAAGGAGTCTCTGGCTCTTAGTGTGCAGTGTGCGGGTTCTGTGTCCAACATGGCCCAACGCCTATTTGCTCAAACTCGTCAAGTTGAATCGTTGGCGGCTGAAGTGATGAGTCTCAAACAGGAGATTAGGGGGCTCAAGCATGAGAATAAACAGTTGCACAAGCTCACACACAACTATGCCACAAACATGAAGAGGAAAATTGACCAGATGCAGGAATCTGATGGTCAGATTTTACTTGATCATCGGAGGTTTGTGGGTTTGTTCCAACAACATTTGCCTTCGTCTTCTAGGGCTGTACCGCGTAATGAAGCTCCAAATAATCAACCTTCGGTGCCTCCTCCTCCTGGGGTTGCGCCGAGTGGTGTGGCTTCAAACAGTCACCCTCCGGCGCCTCTCATTTCTGGAGCTATGCCGAGTGGTGAGGCGCCGCCTGATCGTCCTTGAAGATCCCCTCTTGTAAATTTGATTTGATTATTTTTTTTTTTTTACATGTGGAATGCGAATTTATGTAAATTTTTAGATAAATAAATAAAAGATGGACTTTACTAAATGCATTATATATATATATATATATGTATATATGTTTCAAATGGTGTCAGATGCACCAGATGCACCATCACTTCCCTTTTAATTTTTTTTTCTTTTTTTTCTTTTCTTTTTCATGGTGCCAGATGCACCATCAAAATTTTCTTTTAATTTTTTTTTGTTTCTTTCGGCGGTGCTCACACCCACCTTTTCTTCTTTTTGCTGGCACATGGTGCTAGATGCACCATCCCTTTATATATATATTATTATATTATTTATTATTATTATTATTTTTTCTTTGCACATGGTGTCTGATGCACCTTTTTTTTTTTTCACGTGGTGGCAGCACCACTTTGCTCCACCATCCCCTTTTTTTATTATATATTTTCCTGTATAAATTTAGGTGATGGGTAGAAGAATTTGCAGGGAGCGGATGAAGACGACGGAGATGCTGCAGTCGAGGCTTCATGACCGGCTAGTCGTTTGACGGCGGTTATTGAAGTTCTCCGCCGTTGATGTTTGCCACTGCCCCTACACAACCATTGCTCCGCCACTGCATTCTTGCTACCTTGCACCGCCGCCATTGCACAGCCGCTGTACTGCCTGCCCGTCGCAAATGAAGGGATCATATTTGCAACCTGGGTGTTTCCTACCAGACCACCAAGCGTTGCCACAAGACCCTCGAAATCCACCTCCATGAAGGGACTCGCCAAGCCGTTGCTGTTCATGGTGGTTGCCGTAGTGTTGATTTGCATTGTGTTTGATCGCAAGGCCCCCTTGCAACTTGGGTTGGTGATTCTCTTCTTGTTTGTCCATATAATTAGGATGCAAGGCATGTGCCATGTCAGCAGATACAAGAAAGCTCTTCTGAATAGCTTTCTCGAGCAGCTTAGAATCTGTGGTGAATGAACTTGTAATTCGTGAAAGAGTATTCAACATGGCTGGAGACCCAGCGCCCTGGGCAAAATTAGATCCGACCTCCTCATGATCAAACCAAGCCACCATTCTAACACCAGACTCATCTTCAAGGTTGCTATCAGAAAATGTTGCATCTATCAATGCCTTAAGAGAACAAAATGACATGCAAAGATTATCAAAACTTCCTGAGAAAATAAATTCTTTTGCGGCACCAGCTATTATGCTTGGTTGAGTATCACATGCTTGCAATTCAAAATCAGATATATGTTCCGGTTCACATCTAAGCTGATCTACAAGTGAGTGATGCTTCGATGCAATTGAAGTTGTTTTCTCATTGGATTTCTTTCCATCATTAGCATCACTATTAGCCTCACAATCTTCAGCAACCACTTTATTGAGCTCGGCCTTGACTGCCATTGCCAAGACGGGAAGAAGATGCGTTCGTGCATTCACCTTGAATGCATCTTTAACATCCCTGTCTAAGTGAATTGCCAGAGTAGGGATCCGCATTACGGGCACCTCAATTCTAACAAGTTTATGTGAACACGAAACAGAGTCATCCTTTTCTTCCGTCACTATCACCCTTCCAGCAATCGTCAAGTCACGATCGAACCATGTATGCCACAAGCCACTACCATAAGTTTGGACACCTACTTCCGAGAACCCGCCTTTAGCAACCAGCTTCCAATTTCCAATCCTCCCTCTCAAAACTTGCTCGTACCCCACGCTTCGCATCCGCTTCTTTGCCTCGTCGACGGCGTGGAAGGCGGTGAATGCGAGGTTGGTGAGGAAGGACACAGGTCCAGCGGTTGCTGGAATTGGGTTGCGTCGGCACTGAAGAGCACGGAGGTAGCAGAGCGGCGGAACGGTGGTGGTGAAAGGCAGCCTTTTTTTTTTTTTGCGGAGGATCTAGAACCGTCCAACCGCCCGCGTGATCGTACGTGTGAGACATGAAGCTCAGAATCACAGCGACGGCGTCCTCCATCTCTTGCCTCCTTAGCTAGGTTGATGATCTTCGAGACCGTCGATTCGCTCGGTTACACATCCTCCGAAGCCATTTCAGTAGAGAGAGTGAGACTTGGGCCTCTTCATTGGAGATCTGAGAGCTCGACATCAGATTCGACATGAACTTGAGCGGTTTCAGTGGCTCTTCGATTTGGAATTGCCTTACTTCTGAGCAGAGGTAAGGAGAGGTTGCCAGGGGTCGAAGACCACATCGGATGAGAAGATATGGCGGCCAGCGTTGGCTTTCTCACTGTAGCCCGTGAACCTGTGGAACCGCCCGTTTGAATCGTCCGAGTACGAGTTGAATCCGAGGTGGGGAACGTTCACCGAGTCGGCGTACTTCTTGAAGTTACCGGCGCCGCCTTTGGATCCACCTGCGTAGCTGTTGAACTGGTTCTTGTGGTTGACTGAGTCGCGGCTGTACCGCCGGAAAGAGTCGATGGGAGATGATGATGATGAAAAACTGGACCCGAGCTTGAAGTGGAAGGAAGGCCTGGATTTGGGCTTCTTGCTAGGTTTGGAGAGCTTGGTCCAAGTGGATTTGGGTTTTGAGAGTCGGGCATGGGCCTGGAAGAAGAAGAAGCAAAGCTCCTTGCACAGCAAGCTCATTAGTTTGGAGTCAAGTGAAGATGGGCCTAGATGTTGATGACAAGGGAGTGGTTGAAGATGGGCTCCTTCTGTTTGAGGAGAAACTCAAGGTTTTAGGCTTCAAGCCGTTGAGTGCTCATTGGGCTCACGGTTTTGGCTTCATTCTCAACAATCTAGCCCACCATTATATATATATATATATATATATTTATTTATTTTTTTATTTTTTTTTTAATAATACATTAATAACATTTTTTTTTTGTAAATACAAAAACATATGTATTCATCATTTTCTTTAATAAAACATTTATTTATATTTTGATGTGATTGAACTCGAAATTTTGAATATTCAAGCTGCCTACGTACCCCTCTAAAGAAGAGATCAAGTCGTAACGTAGTTCAAATACATACATATATTTTTTTGGTATTTTTTTTTTGTGCCGTTTGCAGTTTCAGCTCATGCAGGCAAGGAGCGTTGGTGTTGCCTTTTATGCTCGTGCAGACCAGGAGCTTTGGTGTTGCCTTTTATGCTCGTGCAGACCAGGAGCATTGTGCCATGCAGTTTAGGCTCGTACAGGCGAGGAGCTTTGGTTCGTGCAGTTTAGGTTCGTGCGAACAAGGAGCATTGTGAATTTGTTAAACGATCCCTGAGAGGCTTTCCTTGCAATTTTCATAGCAAGGAATCTTGACCGAGTGATTGAAGAAGTCTTCAGGAAAGAAATCGCGCATCGTGATGGGGATGGACGATCTATGTGTCGAAATTTCATCATCTTCAACACGTTCACGTTGCTTTGAAGGTTGACAAGAGCTGATTTGCCCCCTTTCCGATTGGCGGACTTGTGGAGGAGACGTATGCTTCTTGTGCAATTTCTTAGGAGTGACTTGAGTCCATCCTTCAACTTTGCTTGTCTTGGAGGATGCCCCCAGCGGTTGAGGTGAAAACTTTGAGTCGGAAGAGCCAGAAGTGAAGGTGGTATAGTTTGACTCCACCATCGTCAAGATCTAGCTCGATGATTCCTTTCTGAGCCAGCTTCATGATGAGATCTTTCAGCACGAAAGACTTTTCTGTTGGATGACTGATGAAGCGGTGGAATTTACAGTATCTTGGACTGTCAGTACGATTCATCTCTTCCGGCCGTCTGCACTCAGGCAAACTGATCACCTTCTTGTCCAACAGGTCATCTAACATGGCAACCACATCAGAGTCGGGGAATGGATAAGTCTTCTCCTCAAGCTCCTTCAAAATGCGTCTACGCGTCTCTTGATCACGAAAAACTTCGGTTTGAATTGCCTTGCCTCGTGTGGATATTTTGACGGGAGATATGTTGACCGTCATCGCTTCCTTGGTGGGTTTCCATGCAACATTTTCCACCTTTGTCCCAAGAACTTTGTCGTTCTTGTAGTCGGCGATCGGTTCTTTCTTCCCATGATGGGCGATGCTCAACTCCATGTCATGGGCGCGAGTGGCCAATTCCTCGAAGGTCCGCGGTTTAATGCCTTGAAGGATGTATTGCAAACCCCATTGCATGCCTTGGATGCACATCTCGATTGAAGAGGTTTCCGAGAGCCTATCTTTACAGTCGAGGCTTAGAGTGCGCCATCTGTTGATGTAGTCAATGACTGGCTTGTCCTTCCACTGCTTTGTGCTCGTTAGCTCTAGCATGCTCACAGTGCGGCGGGTGCTATAGAAGCGGTTGAGGAATTCCCGCTCTAATTGCTCTCAGCTGTTGATGGACTCGGGCTCTAGGTCCGTGTACCACTCAAAGGTATTTCCTTTCAGCGAGCGCACAAACTGCTTGGCGAGGTAGTCTCCCTCCGTCCCCGCGTTGTTGCAAGTTTCGACGAAATGTGCAACTTGCTGCTTTGGGTTTCCTTTTCCATCAAACTGCATGAACTTTGGTGGTTGATAACCCCTTGACATCCTTAGGGCATCAATCTTCTTGGAATAGGGCTTCGAGTAGAACAAGGAGGTATGTGAGCTCCCTTCGTACTGTGCCTTGATGGTGTTGGTGATCATCTCCTGCAGCTGCTGGATAGAAAGAGATCCCATGAGTGCCGCTGCTTGGTCTGGCTCCGGCTTCACATCGTTTTTCTCCACCTGAGGCTCATCTTCTTCGTCGTCTATTCTCTTTAGTGGATCATTCTCTGGGTTGGGGTTCTCGCCGTCCTGTGGCTCCAGTCGGCTAACGAGTGCAGCAATTTGCAAGTCTTTTTCTTCCACAATCTGTGTTAGCCTTGCAATCGCTTCATTCATTTGAGCCAGTTGTTCTTCAACGGAGGTAACGCCGATAGTCATGACTTGTGCGACCAATAGACGTGACTTTCCTTTAGACATCCAGGATCCTGACGAAGAACGTCGTTGGCTGCTTTGGAACGTCATCTTGTGTGCCTCAGCATCATGCTTCGATGCCCCCAGCGAGGTCAGGTTGATGACAGACTCACACCTTGGATGCTCCCCTTGCTCTTTTAGCGGCACCAATTTTGAAGTGGCATGTTGAGGAGCGGTTATGGCGCCAATGGATTGTCCGTTTGCGGCAGAAGTGCTTAGGATCCTTCCCTCAGTGGTTGCAAGAACGGCTTGTCCCTCACTTGATGCCATTGACTTTGAGGTGTGCTTGGATTCCTTAAACGGAGAAAGAGATGAGAGGCAGAGATTGTCCCACTGGGCGTGCCAATTTGTGAACACGGAAATTTCCTGAAACGAAAGAGACAAGAACAACGTGCACAAATAAATATTTGTATTTGATGATTTTGGGTTACAATCTCTCTCTATTTTGATCCTCTGATTCGATCTCCGTAAGGTGTTGATTTGTGGATGTTTCGTTGATCCAAGGGCCGTCGAGGCTTGATCTTGGATGAACTATTGGAAGTTTCTTCGAAGGGCCGTGGGCTTGATCTTTGAAGGTGGATTTGAGCAGATCTTCAAGGAACCGTTGGGGCTTGATCTTGAGGATGAGTGTTTCTTCAAGGGCCGTTAAGGCTTGATCTTGAATAACGGTGATGAATAGATCTTCAAGGGCTTTTGGGCTTGATCTTGAAGAACAGTGATGAACGGATTTTCAAGGGCTTTTGGGCTTAATCTTGAAGAACAGTGATGAACGGCTCTTCAAGGGCTTTTGGGCTTAATCTTGAAGAACGGTTGAATGTGTGGATTTGTCGACGTTGTTGATCCAAAGGGCCGTTGGGGCTTGATCTTGGATGAACGGATGATGAACGATTGTGCTTTCTTCAAGGGCCGTCGGGGCTTGATCTTGAATTGGTGGATGGTTGATCCAAGGGCCGTTGGGGCTTGATCTTGGAAGAACGATGAACGAAGAACGAAGAACACTTTCTTCAAGGGCCGTCGGGGCTTGATCTTGAATTGGTGGATGATTGTTGATCCAAAGGGCTGTTGGGGCTTGATCTTGGAAGAACTATAAACGAAGAACACTTTCTTCAAGGGCCGTCGGGGCTTGATCTTGGAAGAACGATGAACGAAGAACGAAGAAGGCTTTCTTGATTCTTCGGGAACCTGGATGCTTGAGAGCTTCGGAGTTTCAGAGCTTCAGAGCTTCAAGGTGTAATATGAATTGGTTCCTCTCCCCCCTCAAATGAATGAAATGGGTTTGTATTTATAGAATTTTCCAAGGCCTAATTTTGAATATAATATCCCAGATGAAATAAGTCGTTTCTGCCAGGTGTTGACACGTGTCCTATTTGATGACTTTTCCAACTCATTTCAATTTTCGTTGAGTCACACGCTACGTGTAAAATTTATGTAATACATGAGCGTTGACACTTTGATTTATCGGTCAATATTTATTTACCGAAATTTCGATGTCTACACTTATGTTTTTTCCACAATATTTTATAATGTTGGGACATTAATTAGTGTTGAATTATAAGATGGTAGAGAGAGAGTCTCCGAAAAATATATATGGCAAGGAAAAAAAAAACTCACAAAGTTAAACAAAACAAATAGAAATAAAGAAAGTTCTCTATAACTCCTTCTAGCCTATATCAAGACACAAACTCAATACTTACTATAAACTCTCAACCTACACAATCAACTCAAATTGGTTGTAATTGTAAACATATTCAATGAAGCATCTACAACCAAAATACTTTGTAACAAATTACGGCGATGGATGATGAACGGCATGAATAAAAAGTGTATGATTTGTTTATATACCTTATGATCTTAGACAAAATGTACACATTCGCTAATTAAAATCGACAGTAAATATCATCGCTAATAGGGCTTAAGCGTAAGAACTTACAAATGACAAGAATAATGAATTAAGCTTAATAATGTAGACTTGTAATTAAAATTTAAACAGAACATTAAAATAATCGATTGAATAAGAACGATGACTTTAACCTAGACCCACAAGTCACACCTTTCATGGGGTAAAAATGGGATTTGACTCATCTTTCAAGGCCAATCCAGTAATTAAGCCAAAAAACATTGGGAAGAGAAAGAAAGAGAGAGTGATAGATCTTAACGGTGAGATATGATGAATCTATCACCAGTCTTACATGCTGTAGTCCAGTACTTCCATTCCTCACCCGAATATTCAAGGGAACTTACCCGAATATCAAAGACTTTAATGAAAAAATTTCGATATTGTTAATTTTAATGAAAAATTATATTTTTATATTAAAATATTAATTCTAATAATATTTATTTTGTTCTTATCGTTAAAACTCAATATTTTTAAAATTGTTTCAATCTAGAAGTGATCGCTTGAGTTCCCGCCAAACAGAATTCGGCGCGTTTTCTAACAATCTGAAAAACCCTCATTTCCCGCGAGCTAAAAAGTCCCTTTGCCCACTAGCTCCACCCTCTCAAATCTCAAACTCTCTCCAAACAGTCCAATAGCTCTCTCTCTCTCCTTCCTTACGTCTATCCGTCTCTCCGATCCGGATAATCCCCCGATCACCTCGCCCTTCTTCGTCGTTTCGGTAATCATAGAGGGAGAAGTTCGTAGAAGGTTCTATTGCTCTTTGTTGCTAACGAAGGTTTGTGATAGTGAGAAATAAAATTTTAATTGTATGTGCCCTAGTTGATTACCGATTAGGGTTTCAATTTGGGATCTGACTTTTATGCTGGATGTATTTGTTTGAAATGATTGTTTAAATTCCTCTGTGTAATGTTACCGTGGCCTGAAAGCTTCTGTTTTCCGGCAGCGTCTCCGGTGCGATTGGCTGGAGCGAATGAAAAAACAGCAGTGGTGCTCCTCGCAGTAGTAGAGTAATCTGGTACAGTTTTTCTTATCACTGTAAATTTTGAGGGTTTATTTTCTTTCAATTGTTGCTATCAGCTGCTGAATCTGAAAACTTATTAGTCATTTTTATGTTTTTGATGGAGTTAATGTAATTGATTGATTTAGAGCCCGGGTTGTCTTCATGTGAGGCTTTTAAGACACGGGTTTTGTTTCGAAGCTTTGAATATGGCCTACATTTTCTGAAATTCGAGGCTGTTGTGTTTTAGGACTAAGGATTAGTTGAGAACGATTTGTTTAGTTTTACATGTAAGTTTGATTTCTGTTTCAGGGAAAGCATCTTGTGCATTTTAATGATCGTTTGTGTACTAATGAGAAGAACCTGAGCTTTATATCTGATGGAGTTGAGAAGTTGCAATCATTTGCACTTTATCCAGGCTCTGAAAGGTGGTTTAGTGATCAAGACTCTGAATGTGGCTTGCGGACGACCAGTACTCAGATTCAAGGAGTTGAATGACATACATGAAAGATTAGATGCCAAAAATGGTGATTCGTTTCCAAGATTTCCACCAAAAGATGAGTTTAGGGGATCACTCGTCAACAGTAACAAGGTCATGGGTGAAAGTCCAAGCAGGCAGACTGTGCGAAATATAACAGTCAAAACTGAACCTGAAGCTTATGATAGCAGTGATGGCAATGCTGGGACAAATAGTGATTTGGATGGTTTTGGTGATATGACACTGAAGCAGATCAAAGAGACATGCAAGAAAAAGAAAAGAAAACGTTCAACGTCTGTTGATTTGAACAAAATACTTGAAACTTGCTCACCTGTAAAGCATGAGTGTTCTGAGTCACAAAATGATGAAGAGGATGTTGATCTCATAGAGCCTCTGAGTAAGTGGAAGCACTCGAAGAAGGCAAGGGCCAGGACTAAGAGTAAGCTTAAGAGAAACATTTCCTCTACTATGTCTAAAAGGTCCACATCGACTATCACATATGAGCCGGAGTTATTCCAATTTGATCGAGATGTGATTGCATCTGGTCTCAACATTAAAGTAAAGGTTCCTGAAACTGAGTTTTCAGATATCCAAAACACAATTCCTTTTGCTGGTGGTACCTCTTTGTCTTGGGACAATCAGGTGGGTTCTTGCGGAGTGGTGCCTGATGAATCTCCTGCGACAGCTGCTGATTGTGTTTACGAGACTGAGTTGCCAATTTCTGAAACTAAAGAAAGTCAGATTTGTGTTGTTAATGAAGTCTTCTATGAAGATTTGGAGTATGCAGTGGGGCCTGATGAATCTCCTGCGACAGCTGCTGATTGTGTTTCTGAGATTGAGTTGCCAATTTCCAGAACAAAAGAAAGTCAGATTTGTGTTGTTAATGAAGTCTTCTACGAAGGTTTGGACTATGCAGTGATGCCTGATGAATCTCCAGTGACAGCTGCTGATTGTGTTTCCAAGGCCGAGTTGCCAATTTCCGGATTAAAAGAATGTCAGATTTGTGTTATTAATGAAGTCTTCTATGGAGATTTAGAGTATGAAGTGGTGCCTGATGAATCTCCTGCGACAGGTGCTGATTGTGTTTCTGAGACCGAGTTGCCAATTTCCAAAGCAAAAGAAAGTCAGATTTGTGTTGTTAATGAAGTCTTCTATGGAGATTTGGAGTATGAAGTGGTTCCTAATGAATCTCCTGCGGCAGCTGATGATTGTGTTTCTGAGACCGAGTTACCACTTTCCGAAGCAAAAGAAAGTCAGATTTGTGTTGTTAATGAGGTCTTCTATGAAGATTTGGAGTATGCAGATCCTACACCTATTCAGATTGTAACGACCTCAGATTGGGATATTGTTGAGGCAGATGATCCAGAGTTCACCAGCTATGACTGCTTGGATTTGTCTCTATTAGAATATAACATAGAAGGATGTATCACGGATTCAGTTCACCCTGACAACTTCATTGAAGCAATATGTCCGGCGCAAGATCTAAATTTTGATATGCATGACAATATTTCCTCTGAGGATGAAAGGTTGTGTCAGGCTAACAGCGAGACCCAGGTTCGACTATCTGAGGTGGTGGGTGATTATCTCTTCCAGTGCATGGGACCTATTAATGGAAGTGATTCATGTCTGTCTGAGCCTGACATGAAAGATGATTCACCTTTGAATGTTGAAACCAGTGCTGGCCCTGCTAGTGATTGTGACTCAGGCTCTGGTAGCGGTATGGTTTCTGTTGCTGATGATTCTCCCATGGCTGAGGAGGAGAAGCAATCCCACAAGCCTGCCTGTGCTGGTGCAGATAGAAACTTGTCTCTAGGAATCTTTTCTTCTGATGCTTCTGACGAGCTTACGACACTAGTGAGTGGTGGGAGTCCTAGTTTAAACCAGCAGCGTCCTCTTCAAAGGCTCTTTCCGACCAGAAAGGTACATAGCGTCTATTTGTTGTTATTTTGCTTTATCCTAGTGAGGAGTTTGTTTCTCATTAACTGTTTTCATGTGCAGGTCATTTCACCAACTTCCCAAGAAAAACTGTGTAAGGCCATGAAGTCAATTGAGTTACACAGTGAAGAACTTCCCGGTAAGTGTTCAAAGCCTGTTGTGCTTTCTGAGTGATTATCGTAGCACTCTCTGTCAGAGAAACAAGATTTCGTTCAAGTGTTCTTAATATTTAAGCTTTCAGTTTCTTATGCCTTTTCATAACGATTCATATGAAATACAAAGAAATGTTTTTGGTACCTTGAATTTTAATTTAGTTTTCTGTTCATTATTCCATTTGCAAATTGCACACATTGTTATATCTCTTTTCTTCTACATGTATTTGACTTTCATGGTTTTCTGATTATATCAGGTTGTAAGGGGAATCTACATTTTGGAGAACAAACCGAGAGTACGATTGGTGGAGTCCAAGGGCCTGATCAGATCAGGAGAGCCAAATTCTCTATCAAAGCGCAAAACAACCGTAATCCAAAGAACGAGAATATTAATTCCCACCCTAATGGCATCCCTAAACCTTCCAATGTTTCTGCAGCACCACCTCGTTTTACCACGGGGTGTACTTCTATCAGAACTTGTTCAGAGAGCGCCATTGCATTCTCACAACGCCAGATGCAGGATATTGAATCCCTTGCAACGAAGCTCACGAATGAGTTACAGACCATGAAGGAAATTGCAGAAGAAAGGTTACTGCCTGAAGCCTACCATGCTACACCCTTGAAATATAATGCAAATGAGGTACCCTAATACTTCTCTCAGATACGTTTGCTGCTGCAACATTTTATCATGTATATATGCAACAATTCTGTGTGCTCATCTATGAGCTTCCAATGGAAAAAATGCAGGTGCGGATGGCTATTAAGAACGTAACGAGAGTTGAAGCATCTGCGAAAAGATTGCTTTCCATGATGACGAGGGACTGTAGCCGGTTTTGTAAAATCATGGTTTGCTCCTCATCCTGTTTTCTTTAAATTTTTCGGTTTCTGTTATTCGCAGTCTAAAATAATCATCACGCACTCTTCCTTAATGTAAATAAATTAAGAAAGAGAGCGCAGGATGACTGTTTTGGCGTTCTAATAACAATTCTATTTTCTTTCACTGCCGTGTTCCGCGGCATGAATTTGATCGATTCTGTTCATCGATTGCAGAAAATGGCTGATAACGGCGTCGATGCTTCTGAAAACGTTGCAAACAAGGACAAGGAGAGGAAGAAAATTGTGTTTGCTGATGAAGCTGGGGGGAAGCTCTGCCATGTCAAGTTTTTTGAGAATGACGTGGCAACTTTTTTGGATCAAGGGCGGGATTGTTGAATATACATTTACGAGTAATGCTAGGAAAATCACGTATTTATAATCATTTTACACAAGTAATTCAGTAAAACCATTAGGGGCAAAAACGACAATATCAAATTTTCAAATTTCCCCCTTGGTCCGAAGGGTCAGAAAACAAGAGCTCCCATATCTCAGAAAACGCCTCCACGATAACATCCTGGTAGTGGCGGGAATTCAAAGTCAAGAAGCAACGGAGGAGCTCCTCCAACTCCTTGGCCTCGAAGATCTGCTTCTCCATGATCATCTCCATCATCGACCGCCTGAAATCCTCGTAGGGATCCTCCGACTTCTTCACCACCGCCACGCTCTCCCTCACCTTCCCCTCTCCCCCTCTGCACGCCCTCATCGGCCGCAGCACCGTCTTTATCTTTCCGAACTCGCCGCCAGTCGCCGCCGGTTTCTTCGAATCCAAATCTGAATTCGATCTACGAACCTTATCGTAGTCGCCACCGTTAGGTCTCTTCTTGCTGCTCTGCTTGTGCGATTCCGAGATCTTCTTGCCTATCGTCTCCATCACCAGCGAGAATTCATTCGAGAAGCTGCTGGAAGAGTAGATCGGAGTTCCGCTTTCTTCGCTGTTCTCTTGGCTGCCGTCGAATTCGCCGCTGGACCAGTTTCCCGAAGAAGCATTTATAAACGGAAGCTCCGGCTTCGCTTTCGGTTTCGATTTCTTCTTCGTCTTCGTCTTCTCCTCCTTCCGCTTCTTCCTGTAATACTTCTCGGTTTCCGAAATCGGCGGCATAAAATTGTGATTAAGTTCGTCATTATCCGCGGATGATTTGATTTCAACGTTACAATCGGAGATGAATCGCGTGGATAACCGGGACCGGCACGATCCGCAGCCGATGGATTTTGCGGGCTTGGAGAACACGTAGTGCTGTAGGGAGTGGTGCTCCGGTGTGGACGGCGGCGGGGCCGGGAGGTTGGGGAACTTGATGTCCATGGCTTTGGCGTTTACAGGGGACAGCCGGTATATTGCCGGTGAAGTGGAGTGGTGCTTGGGACGACAGAATTGGATTAGGGAAATAACTCGGGGGAATTTGAGCTTAAAGTAGCGTTTAGCCATTAATTAAGCTGGAGATTAAGCGATAATAGACGGAGGATTTGGTGTTGGATTATATAGTGAGGTGAGGCCGGCTGTAGAAGCAGAGGCAGCGGGATTACGATTACCAAATCCAATTTATCCGATGGATTAAATTAAGAGAGGATGACGTGTGCATGGAATTCTCTCCGGTGATTGTATGGTTTGAAAATGTGTTAAATAAATGGCTATGTTTAAGATTAATTAATTGATAATCAAATTACTAATCAGGTTGAAAGCTACTTAAAAAATCAAATTAATGAATTTTATTTCTGTTTCAGGTTGACGAGTTCCATGCACCACTTGAATATCAAAAACTTCATCATACAAGAGCGAGATCCATCTCATTGTCGTACACAATGTTAGCAATAGGGCGGCATTAGTATTGATAAATTATGCATCAATAAGAAGGTGTCACGTACTAAAGTGTTGTACAAAGTACGAGTAGATTCGGTTTTATTCAGTTTAATTTTTTTTAGTTAAAACTAAAAACCAAACTATAATTATTGTTCGGAAGTTGGAAGCGTACTGAAAATCGATCGAGAGGACAAATTAATCGAAATACTAAAAAGCAGTGTAAAATAATTAGGTTTAATTCCAGATTTCGTTTTCAATATGAACTGAAAACCACTAGTTGACAAAATCGTTGAGGAGCTGACAGCCAGATAGATACAATTTTCAATTTTGTATGACACGTGTACAAGCAAAACCACTACAAGACAATTTGTAGAAAGTTTCTTCTACTGTACAGTGTGCACACGCGCTTTGACTTCTTGACTTTGCAGTACGGGTCGAGCTGGAAGCAAGTACGACTTGGGCCTTCAGAGCCCAGGAGATAAGTATTGTGGCCCGCAACGTTGGAGTCACTTGTGACGCGTGAATTGAATTTTTTTTTTTTTGGGGGGGGACAAATAATAACAGTTTTATTTGTTAGCTGTTGAAGGAGAATGATCAATGAGTATCAAACTTGCACCAGAATGCATAAGCATCATTTCTTTTGCCATTAAGATAAAACGTTATTAATGAATTCTTTTGTTAGAGTAATGTGTTCCTTCATTTGCACTCAAGTTCGAATCTATTTTATTGAAATTTAGATGAACTTAATGTAATTACCATATCATTCACAAGCAAGGAACACAAATTTTGTGATGCCACCATAACAGTGACAATGGTTCACAAAACATATGACCGGACATTAACTAGGTCCTATATAATTTAGTGATACATTTATACGCATCGTTGTTGATTTAGTAATAATGTTTTTTCATAATATTAAAACGTATCACAAGTTTGAATTTTTCTGATGATTTTATCTTAAAATAATAATTATGTTGAAATTAACTTAGTTAGCTTGACTTGTTTGATGATCAATGTTAATTAGTTGTGGTAGGGGTTAAGGGGTCCTAAAATATGCATGTGCCCTTAAAATGGTTCCAAGCCATGCGAGACCTACGCGCAAGGAGCACCTTAGACAACGAAACCTCTCTCCCTCCCTCTTACCTTCTCATTTTTCCAATACCAACTTAATATCCTACTAGTTAAAATTAAAATTTCCGCAATCTCCCTTCTAATTTTAAAACACCCTAATCCTTTAGGGGGAGAAAGGGGAAAGTTTCCCTTTTCCTCTTTCTCTAATTTAATCAATTTATCTCCTCCACAATCCCCTAATCGCATAGGTTCCTCAAATATTTAATTTTACATTTTTTTTACAATTTAATTAATTTCTATGAGGAAGCTGTGCCCTAACCTTGACAATCAAGATGGCCTGGCTACCGTCCTCGAGGTGCCGATTCCGGAGGAAATGTTCACCAGCATGGGCAGCAGCGCCGAGTTGCAGTGGGCGAATCTCCGTTCTTCCATGAAAGCTCATCTCTCGTCAGGATCAAACAATGAGTTCATGGCATTGCTCAAGCTTGTGGGCTGTCCTCTCATCCCCCTTCAGGTTCATTGCGACAATGCACTCTCCCGCCCTATCAAAGACTGTTCAATCGTACGTAGTCTTAACCTAACTTGCCAAATAATATATTTCCATTTTCCATTACGTACCTTCGTAGTTCGATAAAAATCAAACGAAATCTAAAATTTGCATGCATGCATGCGGGCAGGAGGCTTCGACGGCGCATTATATAGTGCAACAATATGTGGCGGCGACCGGGGGACTGGCGGCGTTGAATTCGGTGAATAGCATGTGTGCCGTTGGGGAGGTGAAGATGGTGGGATCGGAAATGCACCAAGGTGATAACGATAGTGTACACGTTCAGAGCAAAGGCAATGGCGAGGTTGGTGGGTTTGTCCTATGGCAAAAAGACCCCGACCTGTGGTACTTGGAATTGTTTGTTTCCGGCTTCAAAGTCAGTGCTGGAAGCGATGGCAAGGTCGCATGGAATCAATCCGGCTCGCAACCTTGCCATGCCAATAAAGGGCTCCCAAGACCCCTCCGCCGCTTCTTTCAGGTATATACATTACTTGAAAACAACGCATGCACATTTCCTTACAAGAGTTTTTGCTATAAGTGTTTTTATTATTTATTAAAATCAAGTGTTTTCTTGGAAAAATAAAATACAGAACATGTGTTTCTTTGCAAAGTGATTATACGACCTAAAAACGCTTACTAATTATTCTATCGTTTGAAGCACTTTTGGTTGTTAGAAAATGTGATTACTTCATCATAACGCGGTTTCTTCGTAACACGATTAAGTGACAAAATTAACTTTTGTTTATTGATTAGGGTTTGGACCCAAGGAGAACAGCCAACTTGTTCCTAGACGCAGTATGCACAGGAGAGAAAAGCATCAACAAAGAAGAATGCTTCATCCTCAAGCTAGAGACTCCCACGGAAATACTCCAATCCCAAAGCACTCCCCAGACTGAAATAGTCCACCACACCATCTGGGGCTACTTCAGCCAGCGTACGGGACTGCTAATCCAGTTCGAGGACAGCAAGCTGGTCAAGATGAGGTCGCGAAACGACAACGTTTTCTGGGAGACGACGATGGAGACGGTGATCGGGGACTACAGATACGTCGACGGGATAAACATAGCGCACGCTGGCAAAACGTCGGCGTTGCTGTACAGGTACGGACACGCTTACAACCAGAAGAGGAGGATTGAGGAGACGTGGAAGATTGACGAGGTGGATTTCAATATTCGTGGGTTGTCCACGGATTGCTTTCTTCCTCCGGCGGATCTTAAGAGGGAAGATGGCGGTGGAGATCAATAGTACGTACCATACGACTGTTTGCTTTTTAAAAGAGACTGTTTTGTTTGGTCAATTTATTTTTACACAACCAATACAAAAAACAAAAAACCAAAAAGAAAGAAGGCGAAGGGAGAACTGCATGTACATATAGGTAAAAGCAAAACTGTTTTTTCTCATCAGCCTGTGGTTTTTGGAATTAGAGAGAGCAAGATGAAGAGATTGATTAATTTTTGGAATTAAAATACGTCGTGTATGTGAGTTGATCTTGACGATTCATAATTTGGACCCACGAAATAAATCCCACATGCATGCAGCATGCGTTATTGATCCTAACACTCCTCTTTAGACCCAACATCTAAACCAAATCTACGCTTAGCTTGTTTCTATATACTAATATGCATCTTGGTTGCTGGGCTCCCCCACATGCAAGTGAAAAACGAAGAGGATCCCTTCTACCAAATTCACCAAATTCATCAATCCGGATCTTTGAAATTCGATTCAAAGGCTATAAATAAGGGTCTCTTTAAAAGTTATAATAACTTTAAACGTTTGATCAAATTTCAAAAGTCTGGATTTGTGGATTTGGTGGAAGGGATCCAGAGAGTATCCATTTCCGAAAGAACGAATGATCTTCCAACCAAAAAAAGTGAGTGAGTGAAAAGCGTGGCAAGATAGTGAGTTTGACTCGTGAACGATTGACGAGTGGACCGATCTTTTTGGGCATTTGTTATAATGGGCCTGTTCAGTAAACTGTACACAGGCCCAATCAAAAGTTGGACCTCGATAACTTTTAAGAAAGCCCATAGAAACTCCCCAGATATCCATTCAAAGCCCAAAGCAAAAAGGAGTGGGCCGGGCCACCAAAATATCAAAATCTGTTTGCCAGTTGGGTAAAACCCTAATTCACATAAACCCCTATATAATCTCGATCCCCCTCCTTTCTGCTATCATTCTTCTCCGCGCTTAGTCGCTCTTCAACTTTCAATCTCCGCAGCCCCACCGTTTCATAAATCTCCTTTCTTAAGATCCGTTTGTGGTTTGGATCCGATTGGGTTTCGGATCCGAATACATAGATAGCGTCTGTGTCTTCTGAATTTTGGTTTGGATTGTCTGTGCTCGCGCCAATGTTTGTGCGTAATGCATCTGTTTACCCTCTCCTTCCATGCCAAAGAAATCAACGGTGGAGGAGCTTAGAACGGATGCAGATATCGATTGGTTGGCTTACCAGCTCACTGCAAATTATTTGAGTTTGCTTTTGGGTCAAATGGACCTACCGATATATTTATATCCTTAATTATGTTTAATTAATTGTCTTAATTATGTTTAAATTAGTGTGGGTCGAAAATCAAATGGCAAATGATGAATAATCTTTTCCGCTTATTGATATACTGAATCTTCTGTGTTGACATAAACTCCGCTTATTATCTGATGCCATTTTTTTCTATTTATTTATTTTATTTGGAAAAATTAAAAGGCAAGGCGTATGATGAAAAATATTATCACTTATACTACACACCGAAATAAATGTGGACGAAATCTCCGCTTATTATGGTGCAGTGATATTGTTTTAGGTTCAATTCTCGTCAATGGCGAATAGATAAATATTGTTTGTTAAAAAAAAATTAGTATCTTTGTTTTTGGATTTTTAGTGACGGTTTTGTTTAGGAATTGTGTTAAGAATTTGTTTCGATGAAGAGGAAAAGCAGACGGGCGGACAGAATCTGATGCTGTGTAGATTGTCTGCAATTGCCACTTGTGTGGAATTGTCTCTGAGGATTATTTGTTTTTAATTTTGTATAATATTTTCTTTTTTTTTGCTTGTTTTTAAATTGGATTAAAATTGAATTAGTAATTAGGAGTGTAAAGTTTGAGTTGATAGTGTGTGATTAGTAGTTTAATTATTATAATTTTATAGAAAAAACCGAAGAAGTTTTATCATGTTAGTCCATACTTTTGAGGTTTTGAAAGATTCATAAAAGCACTTTAATTTCTTTTTTTATCATCATCTTGTGATTCACTAACCCAATGAATCAAATAGTTGCTGAAAATATTGACACGACAATGATGATATTGACAATGAAACTTAAAACGATAGAGAATATATGCAATAATTTGGTTAATAAAAAGAAAAAAACGAGCCACATCTCTTTTGTTGTGCTCTTTTTCAAAAGCGGGATGTATTTTGAACCATTTTTCTTATAATTTTTAGGAAAAATTAAAGAGAGTTTTAACGAAACATTTTCGGTATTGTTTATTTTAAAATTAGTTTTCAAATCATTTTTATTAATTTTTCTAAAATTAAACTCAAATAATTTGAATAAAAACTAAAATTATACAGTCAATCCCCATCAATTCTTCTCTCCGTTAGCTGTTTTTGTTTCTGTATTCCTAAGTTTTCAGTTAAACTGGTTGGTTCTTTGCGCTCTCTGACCGTAAACCTTTGCAACCAAGCGTACAAGATTCTTGTGGTTTCGGTGAATCTATCTACAAGAGAATAAGGAACGGAGAGCTTTTCTCCCTTTCTGTCTGAGTCTTTGGCCGTTATATTAAAAAAAAAAAGGAAAAACTAATGAAAATGGCTTGAAAACTTTGAGTTTTAACGATATAGGCAAAATAAATAGTAAAGTGAATAGTAATATGATTGACATTTTAGTATAAAAATGTGATTTTTCTTTAAAATAAATAGTACCGAGAGCTTTTCATTAAAGTTTCCAAAAAAATATTATACAATTTGAGGAGAATAAATTGAAAATTTTGGTTGTATTGGGTCTAATGATAACAAAGTGATGGTCCGGGTGATTCATTTCCCCCCTCAAATGGGCTTACTCAGACAGCGTTGTCGGTCCTCAATGAAATATGGGTGGGTCGGGCCTTTTCGGTTTGGTTGAAGCCCAATGGGCTTCTGAAAATAAGAATTCTTATGGGGATTTTAAAAAATCCATCTCCGAATTACATTTCCTATCCACTAATTAAGATTTTCTTAAGAGCTCTTAAATTTAGGGAGTGAAAAATGGGCTCCTAACGTTAATTATCAATATTTTAGAAATATTTTAAGTACAACCTCTATTCCTATTGATTGGAGTAGAATTGTTTTAGGAAGCTTAAATTTATAATTTTTTAGCTAAAATTTAATTTTAAAAATAACCACTAGGGGGTAGTCTAGTCGTTGGGAATGAATTATAGGCCCGTATTCATACGGTACGTCTTGTGTTTGATTCTTGGTACTGATGAATTACATGATAATGGTCAGAGGAAGCTAAAATACTTCTATGAGTCTTTCTGGGCTCTAGAATAGTGAATTGCCGTGACAAAAACGCTAATTGGTCTCCTTTAAAAAAATAAAAAATAAACTTAAAAATAGAGTGATTGTAGATGCACTAATGGATTGGTAGTTGCGGTCTTGTGATGAATGCTGATCGTGAACATAATTAGGAATTAGGAATTAGCAATTAAGGAAGGTTAAGCTTATTTGCTGTCGTTATCAACCAATAACCCCACTTGCTTTAGCTGAGGTTGACTATTTCAATTAGCGTAATGTCGTTGTTTAGTTGTCAAATCGGTGGTCCTACAACTTTAGTTTACATTTCGAGTCTTTTGGATGTCAGATATCTGAAAAGAATCCTCGACAGATTATTTTCTTAGACATTTCGTGATCGTTTATTGTATATTTTGCGTTCAGTTTTCGATATATATTATTTATTGTTAATTTTATATTTTAAATTTTGAAATGATTTCTGATCGCACGATGTACGATGAACGAATGATCATTTTTCAACCAAATCCATTGGGATAATATTTTCATCTCTTAACATTTACAATAGTGTATTATTTATTCCCGTATCCAAAGTTTTAAATTCAATTTCTCTCTTTTACTATATCGTTTGTATAAAAAAAAAAATTAAATAGAAACAAAAATAAAAGTTTTGTGGTAGCTGTGCGTCAAGGGTGCGCGTCAAAGGGATTAACCTACTTTTAGGGATACTTGCCACTCTAAAGTAAAGATTCTCTTTGCATGCTTTGTTTCTTTCTCACTTTTAATGAAAAAAAAAAGGCTTGGCTCCTTAGGATTGCGAAGCAAATTCATTTAGTGGATGGTTCACGTAACTTTGTGGAGATCATATCTATAAAAAATAATTAAAATTAAGGTTGTTTAGTCAATCAATTATAGCAAATAAAAAGATGGTTCGTAATTTATTTATCGAATCTGTCCATCTGTTTTCATACAGTTCAATTACCAAACGATTTCATATTTAATCGATTTTCTGCAGAGATGGTATTTACATAGTTATTTATACATGAATGGTTTTGATCATAATCATGAAGTTTCGTGAATCAAATACATAGTGAATTGAGGAGGAACTCGTCCTCATTCGTTAAGGAGCCAAGTTAATTGAAAAAAAAAAGCATAAGGAGATTAAGATTTTGAAGGGGATACGAGTGGTAGATTTTCGTAAAAGTTAACGTATTTTTCTTCTTTAATTCATTGTGTTTCTGATTCAAAATAGTAATAAGGATCAAATAATTTAGTAAAAAATTAGTTTGTAACTGTGATATTAAAATCTTGAAGTTGGGAAAAACTTTAAAACTTTTCTCCTCAATGATTTTCTTTAGTCTTTCTTGAAATTATTTAATTATTTTCTAATCATGAATCGGTTGACTAATGTAATGAACACAACATCAACAGGTTCACCTATCACAAGTTGACATTTTTTAATGGGCACTAAGTCGCCTTAAGAAAAATCATAATTACCATAATCGTGTTGGAAGCCTGAAAACGAGATAGAACTTGAGTACAGATGTTGAACCACGTTAATCGTAAGATATTTATGACTAAAACGCCAGATTATATATTTAAACTCATTCAATTATATACGATCTTATATGACATAAGAATTAGGTCTGATAATTTTTTACATGACAAGTTAATTTGACACAAAACGATACGAAAATTACAAGTTTCTGGCCAACTTGTCATTGAGTCCAGTTGTTATCAGGTCACCTCATTAAGAAACTGATCAGATATTGTTTGTTAGGTTTACATTAGACATGACAATTTCTTGCATGACTCATTAACCCGATATGAAAAGACATAACCTGTTAATGAATCAGGTCGCTATCGAGTCACCTGTTAAGTATTTATTAAAATAACAGTTTTAACACAACATAATCCGTTAAGATAATCGATCTCATACGACATAAGAATTAGGTATAATTTAAACTCATTCAATTATAAGCGATCTCATAACACATAAGAATAAGGTCTGACAATTTTTTACACGATAAGTTAATTTAACACAAAACGACATGAAAATTACAAGTTTCTTGCCAACTCGTCAACAAGTCCGGTTGTTATCAAGTCACCCATAAAGAAACTGATCAGATATTGTTTATCAGGTTTACATTAGACACGATAATTTTTTGCATGATCCATTAACCCAACATAAAAAGAAATAACTCGTTAACGAATCGGGTAACTATTGAGTCATCTGTTAAGAATCCATTAAAATAACAATTTTAACACAATACGACATGTTAAGATAACAAGTACGATACGATTGTAAGGTCTAATCAAAACCAACCTAATCAGCGGCCCTCAGTGCTAAACGACACAGGTGACGTGATGGTGGGAAATGACTAGGGTCACACACCGGCTGACGCGGCTGTATGCCCCAAACAGTCAAACTCTAGTCGGCAAATGATGCCCATTCCCGCGTCTAAATGGACCCCGCGTTCACACATACTTTGCTGGGTGTGTGTCGTTACAAAACCATTCAGAAATTTCGGAATGGTAGCTCGCTAAACACTCCACAATTCCCTTCCCTTTCCGACATCAAAATTCAATTTCAAAGCTCGTCTCATATGTCTCATGTCTCATTCCGTTTGATTAAAACATTCATCGTTAACTTCGAGATTTCGAGTTTGATTTTCTTCATCTCGTATCACCTTGTTAGGAACTTGTCGTTCAATTAAATAAGAGTTTTCACCACAAAATCGAGGTTTCTAGCTCAATTCTATTAATCTCAGACTCATATAGTCCTATCATGAGTTGATCGAGTAGTTAAATAAAAGATCTTAAGTTTGATTTTACTCATTTCATCGTCTTGTCACAAAATTATCGTTAAACTAAATCTGAGATTCCAAGTTCGATTCTCAACTCGAATGTCATAGTGGTATTGAGATGGCTCACCCACCCATGACCTCATGACCCCAACACATTAATACAAAATTTACTACTCACACCCCCACCCCCCACAGTCCCAAAGTCCACAGAGAGTCCCAGACGGTCTCTCTGTCTCTCTGTCTCTCCTCTCTCTCTCTCTCTCTCTCTCCTCAGCAGTAAAACTTCATCTTCTAACAATGAAGGACAACGATCCACCGACACTGATAACGATCCCATCATCAACGGCGATCAGGAAGGACGCCTCATCGTCGTCATCATCCTCGAAAACCAGAGTCTTTCTCGACAAAAATGGCTACAAGTTCTGGGCTTTAGCGGCGATTCTTCTCCTCGCTTTCTGGTCCATGTTCACCGGCTCCGTCACCCTCAAATGGTCCACCGGCAACTTATCCCACCTCTCCGACGACCTCGACATCCCGACCTTCGACGATCTCGACATTCTGGTACTAAAGTTCGCATCTTTCTCGTACTTTGGACTAACCCATCTGCTTAATTTCTTCGTTAATCGCTGTGGATTTGGAATTAAACAAAATTAATTAGTGATCAATACTGGATTAATGATTTGCAGGAGGTGGAGGAGAGAGAGAAGGTGGTGAGGCACATGTGGGATTTGTACACGCAGACCACCAGCACCAGCACGAGTCGATTGCCGCGGTTTTGGCAGGAGGCTTTCGAGGCGGCGTACGAGCACTTGACCAGCGATGTTGCCGCCGTTCGAGACGCCGCCGTTTCGGAGATTGCCAAGATGTCCATCCGCTCCATCGTTCTTGATCCTTTTCCTCTTCAATCAACGGTTAGTAAGCCCTCTGATCTGCATAATCAAGTCTCTCTTTTATGTTAATGGGTGATCATTTTCTGCTAAATTTTAAATTTTAAGATTAACTAAATAATTAATTTTAAAATTAACTTGATGATCTGCTTTAGCCACGAAAGTTTATTGATCTTTCAGATAAGCTGAGCAATTTGAGTAAAAATGTAGTAAAATTTCAAAAGCTTGAGTAGTAGATGTAGGTGGGGAGTATTTAATTGAGAATTTGAGAAATTTTAATGGATTTATAAATCCATAGATTTTTATAGAGTTTAATTGATTCGTAGAGATTTAATTTCTTCGAAATTTCATGGGAGAAGTGAGATTTGTGGATGTTTAAAATACACTACGAAATATCTTCAATTCTCTCTAATTCCTCAACTTTCAAATTATTTAAAATTGATTTATAATTGAAATCAATAAAATCCTAATTGAATACATCCGATTTCTAAGGATTTTAATAAACTATCTTAAAATTATAATTGAATACATCTTAAATTTTAGAAAATCACTTAAAATCATGATTGAATACCCTTAGATTCATTAAAAGAATTAAAATCTCTCAAAATCAAGATGGACAAGGCAGTGTTTTTGGCCTCTTGCATCCGAGTTCAAATTCTTATCCAGATGGATTAGAATAATTTAGAATATAATATCGTCGTGTAAAAGAGACATAAAATTCAAATTCTTATCAAGAAGTGTTATAAATTTGTCTAATTTGATACGAATTTGATCTCATCCAACCATCAAAACCATGGTCTAAAATATCCATAATATCCCGATATTTTCATCGAAATTTCCGTGTTTTTGGACTATCGATATTTTTTTAGATTACCGATATTTCCGATATCATCGATATTTTAAACCTTGCTAAGTCACTCATGTATCTTACTGTATAAAGTGTAAAATATTGTACTAATTCATTATATATAAATGATTATGATGTGTTTAAATTTCTTTCATTAATTACTACATATTTTCTACGCTCACAATGTTTGCCAGCTCGCTATATAATCAACTTAAATCAGTTATATCTATCATGCAATGCATTTCCTTCCAATTTTTTGTGATAAACTAATAGATAATTGACTAAATAAACATCCTGCAAAGTTTCAATAAAAATTTCCAAGTTTTTCTTACAATTTCCATGGTTTTTATTCAATTTTTATCGATATCGATAATATCCCGATATTTCCATCGAAATTTCCGTATTTTTTTACTACCGATATTTCCGATATCATCGATATTTACTACCTTGATCAAAACACAGTGAAATTTTCCACCCAAAAAATCTCTGCAATTTTCAAGTGACGGAGTCCACAAAATTCGTATCGAAGCCTTGGTAATATGTGATTGCGATTTGTGACTACTTATGTTTGTTATTGTGTCCAGAACACAAGAGAGATGAAGAAGAGATCGAAGAAAGCCGAGGAAAGCAAGAAGGCGACTGCATTACGAAGTAGCAGCTAGAATTCTGCGTTACAGTTGCTCGTCATCGAACACTTGCTTAAAGTTTTCGGAGGACGACGGTGGACACACACCGGAACTATGTGCACCGTTTATATAATTAGGGTTCAGATCAATCCCCCATCTCAGGAGTCGGAACAAAAGAAAAAGATGCATATAAGAAAACTGGTATATGAATTGTCCTTCAGTGAACCCCATTAGTTGGGAACTTTGGACATCAGAAAATCCCATTAATTGGGATTTGATTAATTGTATATTTTATTTTTAATTAAGAGTAATAACAACAGTAAATTTTCCAATCCTGGGTGTTGAGGGTTGTTTTGCAGCGAAAGTTTTATGATGGTATGTGTAAAGAATTCAGTTTTAAAATTAAAAACATGAGTTTAATACTGAATTCTTTAAGTTTAAAACTACAATCGAATGATATTTTTTTTCATTTGTAAGTGAGGGATTTTAAGTTCAATTATCGTCAAAGACGAATTTGAACGACATTATTACTAGCTAAGGTTTAGCTCCCTCTCCAAACCCCCTAAGATAGTCTATGTGAATAGTATCGCTTATTCAAAATTAAATAAAATTTAAAAACTATCACTTACATTTTGAGAAATTGTAACAAAGATATTTTAACTTTAACTCAATTGAAGAAATAATCTTTCAACTTTAACTTAATTAGAACAATGATCTCTCAATTTTAACTTAATCGTATCAATAGTCCTCCAACAAGGCTCATCTTGACATAATTTTGACGGAGTTACTAAAAATAATCATAATTTCACGTTTTAATGAGTTAAAAAACCAATGATCATGAACTTTTTGTTAAGAAACTATTGCTCCAATTTAGTTAAAATTGAAAAGCCATTGCTACAATTCTCTCCTTGCATTTTCACTAAAATATCAAAAGCACTTGGTCATTTTAAAATCACTTCCAAATGAACTCTAATTTAATCAAATGAAAAAATAAGGTCTAATTTAAAAAACTTTAACGAAAAACTTCCGATACTATTCACTTTAACAAAAAAACCACATTTTTACTTTAAAAAATCAATCATGGTATTGTTTACTTACAACACATTTTTACAATTTCCGTTAAAACTCAAGGTTTTCAAGCCCTTTTCATTAATTTTCCTTATAATTGAAGGCAGTCTTACCATGGTATAATTTAAGGTTACACAAAATCGCTCGAGCAGAAAAAAATAGCACTGCTGCTGTCGTTGGCTGGCTGGCACTTACTACTACTACTACAAAAGATGGAAGATCCAGAAAATATGGGATAAAAGAAAGGGGGCAGGTAAGAAAAATCCTAAACCGATGAACGTAAAAAGCCATTTACAGTCCAAAAGCCAAAAACCTATTTACAACTGCCTCTTCTGATCTTTAAACTTCATCATCCTCCTCCCTAATCTTCCAGTGTCTGGATCTCACCCATCATGATGCGGTTGCTCACGACGTTAAATCCCAAGACAGCCGGACTAACCTTCTTTCCTTTCTTCCCCTTCTTCTTGCCGCCCCCTTTGGAGAACCCGTCTTGGTCCACATCCCCAACATCTGCACTGTATGAATTCACATCTCCGCCGCTGAACCCAGCGACCCCTCTTTGGTCATTCCCTTTTTGAAAGGCAATTTCAAGGACATCAGCCGGTAGCAACTCCTTGTAGTTGAGAAATTTGTCAATGAACTCATGATCGGGATCATACGACCCTAGGTTCTGTTTCAGAAGCAACTCCGCCTCCGATTTGGATTGCTTCAGGCAAAACTCAAGGAAACTCGTATCTGGAAAGAAAAATAAATGACATTGCCAGGAATAAGACTTTGAAAGGATGTATTCTTCTGAACAAATTCTAGCAAATCTTATATTTCTCAAATCAGTAATCCAATTATGAAACTGAATATCACGAGAAGGAATGGATTTGGACCAACACAATGCCTAATAATATCAATTCACTTTTTTAAGCTACGAAAAAAACAAAATTCTTACAGCAAAAACATCCGGCTCTATGGATTTTGCCCACTATTTAACGAAGTTTAGTACTATTATGCAATACCTTTCGTGCCAATAAGCCTAACGCACTCGCTCTTGCACCAATCTTGGAAGCCCATGGCTTCTGCAAAGGAAAATAAAACAATGTAAATAGGCGACGAGTAATATTTCTGACAGAAAAATAAAAAATAACATGACTCTTTACCTGATTGCTTGGTCATGGCATCTCTTTTTCCTTTTGTAGATGACTGAGACGGTGAGGATGAAAGTAATCGCTCATTTGACTTTCCACCCACTGATTTCTGCCTGCCTAATGAACCAGCTGAAGTTCCTTTTACAGGAGTATTTTTCACTCCCTGACTGCCCTGGCTTGCAAGATGAGGAAAATCTGCCCTGCTCACAGGGAAACAAACAAAGACACAAGATCCAGGTCAAACTAGCTCTAATGAGATCCCTACATATACTAGAGCTGTGAGCCAAACCAAATATGCATCCCCGCAATATAATTGAGGTTCACTAAGCTTTCCGTCTCAAAGCAAAATAAAGTGGACACGAACACACAAATGAATGGTACATAAAGCAAAGGAGTAATATCATACTGCTTATTTTCTTGCTTTGCTTGATCAATTGGTCCCCAGAATAAGTCATCTTCTACTTTATTTCTTGACTGAGATGCATGGGAATTAATTGCGATGGGAGATGCAGCTTTAGATGGAGATGATGCTGAAAGCGACCATGACGGAGCACTATTGCGGGTGACTTGAGGTGGCTGTGATTTCTTTGGAGTTGGAATCTGATTTTGGTGCTGAGCAGCAGCAACCCTCTTCTCCTGCTCCTTTTGGATATCTCTTAAAGATGTGGGTTTAGGAATCTTCCCGGAGTCTGTAAGCCATGCTGGAGAAGGAGCAGGGTTAGCCGTTTCTCCTTTCCAAGGAACAAAATCTCCCAATGAAGGCCCTGATGGAATTGCAGGCAATACTTCCTTTTCCTGCTGTACAGAACGGGAGCTTTTGACTTTCTCAGTGGGGCTTGAACTAACAGGCACATCTACAGCAGTAACTGATATTGAGGTCTTGGTTCCAGTACCCTTCGCTTTTGCTGACCTTTTGCGACTCTTTTTGGTGTCTTTTGCCTCAATAAAGTTATCGTCATCTACGGATTCTGAATGGGTGGGCATAATTTGTGAAGAATGCTGAGTTGACACACCATTAGGAATTTCAACATCTCTTTCACTGGACTTGGCCAAAACCTCCTCTGCTAATAAATCATGTAGCGGGCTCTTCTTGCTCTTTGAGTTTTGAGAAGTTTTGGGCTTCCCAGCATTTAAGTCATTAATACCTGCATCTACCGGAGTTTCTCTAGATATTTTTGGTTCTGAATTGGCTACAACCCCGGCCCAAGGAGTTGACAAACTGGGGGAGTTGATGGTGACCTCAGGTATAATCACTTCTGACTCTGCCTTCCTCTGTTCTTCCTGTTGAATTTCTAGTAACGATTTTGCCTTAAAACCAGGAGCAGGCTTCCAAGCTCGCTGGCCAATCTGTGTATGAGTACTTTGCCCAGAAACAGACTCAACTAACTTAGAATCACCCCTGATTTCATGAGGTTCTGTATCATCTCCAGAAACTTTCACAGGCTCTAAATTTTCAGATTGTCGGGATTCCACAGCCTCCACTGTAACAATTTCAGGCTTACTGCCTCGGTTGCCTCTCGTCTCCAATTTTACGTCACCAACAACAGGCTTTTCAGCTTCAGACTGCGCCTTGGATGCTCCTTTTGCTTGGTCACTTGAAGACTGTGCCTTGGCAGATTTTTGCTTCTTGGACTTCTTCTCAGAAATCTTTCTTTGCCCTCTTACTTCAACATTCTTTGCTTCAACCACTGTAGGAGCCTCATCATTGTATTTTTCCCTTTCAATCTGCTGTTCTTCAATTTGATTGCCTGATTGAACATTCACATCATTGATATGCTCAGGTACATCTTTCTCAAAAGCTCCTAATGATCGCAGAGGATCTGCAACACCCTGAGAAATTGCTACCCCAGCAGATCGGTCAGCTATGAAAGCGTTTTCAGCTGCCTCTTCCAGGGTTTTAGCAACATGAAAATCAGAATCAGGTATGGACTCCTGCGCAAGGGACACCTCTCTAGATTTGGTCATCACATCAAACAACGGTGAGCTCTCAACATTTGTGGACATTGGCAGCGACTCCTGCTGAATAGAAATTGGTGCCGCCGGAGTAACATCCCGACTTCTTTGATGGGTAATATTCCCAAGCACTTGATGCGGTAAAGGTACTGAGGATGCTCCCTCACTAACATTATGACTGATATCTAGGTTACCTTGGGGAGGCAAAGTCATATAACTACTAGTAAGTTCATTTTGCGTATTAGCAACCTGCACATTTGTACCAACTGGAAACATTTCTTGTGACGACTGAAGCCGGGAGGGATCTATCCCTTTCAGCATCGCAGAAGCCTGCATCTGTCCAAAAGATGGCTCAGTAAAATGCTGTTGAGAGTGATGCTCTGGCATAACCTGGGAAAGCAACTGCTGTTGTTGCCTTAACAAAATTTGCTGCTCCTCCTGTTTCTGTTGCTGCTGCTTGAGCAACATTAAATTATCCAACAATGACATTTGTTGTGTTGGAACAGGCGCCTGGGAATGTAACTGCAATAAATACTGCTGTTGCAACATACTCAATACTTGTGGATCTTGTAATAAACCAGAAGATAGTAATTTCTCTTGCGTTGAAATACTTGAACTATCAATAGCTTGAGAGAGTAAAGATTGTTGATTCTGAGGATGCAGCCTCTGCTGTTGGAACCCAAGTGGGATTTGGGGAGGAAAGTACTCTGGAGTGGGGCTTGGGGGGGAAAATTACTCTGGAGTGGCTCTGAGCCACCTTGGACAGGAAAAGTTGACCGACCAGCAGTACTATTATTTATGTCAGATGATGACCGGTTAGTTAATCCTTGAAGGATGGACATGAGGTCAGCATTTTGGGTATGAGGAGGCTGACTAGGATTTTCAGCCACTGAAGAGAGGAGGTTTGCATCTGGGACAATCTCCGACTTAGGCATCACAGATGAAGCATCCCTCCCAGGCCAATATTGATAAGGATTAGGAAAAGACCTCTGTCGTTCGAGAACCATTCTCTTGGCCAACAGATTATCCAATCCACTATGAGTCAAGCCGTGAGGATTGTTTCCCATAAATCCTTGTAAACCTAACAACAAAACATAGAGATCCAAGTCACAAGAAGCCAGTATGATATGCAGGACAAATGAAACTAAAGCATGAATAAAGCTTCAGAAAGTATGAAAACATTAGACTCAAAATGTAAAACATATGTTAATATCACCAACCTTCCGAAAAAGGAAACTTATGAAGTGGTAAGCCACTCGGATTACCAGACATCAGTGACTCCAGAAACCTATTCTGAGCTTCTGTTGTCGAGCCCTGTTTATTCCTTGGATCATTTCTTGCTATCTCTATCTCACTTAAACCAGCTTGAATCATCCCAACATTACCAAAGTTTGGCCTACCTGATGTATCTGCAACCTCTGGTTTAGGTGCAGTAAATCCAGGCGGTGGTCTAGCTTTAGCTCGTAAATGAGGCATAACATCACCAAGTGCCAAAAATGGCGTATCATTTTTTGCACCTGCTATGCGAACTAGCAAATCTATGCCAAAATATCCAGCCTCAAACCAGCCAATAATGTCAGCCCCAGAGAAAGGACCTTGAATTATACCCTGAGGATCTTTATAATAAAGCTGAAGCTCCTCTGGAGAAAGCTGCTGAGGTTGTCTCAATTCTTGTTCCCTATCTAGAATTCCCGATCGCTGCCTCCTTATAACAGGATCATCACTGGTTTTCCATCTTGCCTCATCCCTACTTTCCCATTCGTTATTAAGATCTTTCGATCCTAGCGACCAGCCCATATCAGGAGTTCTTGACTTAATATCACCGGGAATCTCGTTCCAATCATGCAAGACTGTATGTGAGCGTTCTCCTTGTGATGAAGATCTCCATGGAGAACCAGAATGAGCAGTAATACCTCCCTGCATGCTCAAATCTGCACTAACAGGTGCCTCCTCAGCCCTTATGAAAGGACCACTGTCTCCTCTAAAAGCTGCAAACAGAAAGTACATTGAGTAAATTTAAATAGGGAGACCCATCTCACGCTAGTAACACGTCTGAAAAAGGCCAGTAAAATCATTTGGGTCCTTTTTTTGAAACATAAGCTCAAGAAAGAATGTAAAATTATGAATCAAGAATCAAATAAACCAGTTCCACATGGGCATGTGAACAGGAGGTTAGCATTTTCCCTTCCATTCAAAAAACATAGGTGAGTTTAAATTATCTAGACCAAAATTTTCCAGTCCACCCAATAGTAACCTTTACCAACGTGCCTATTGTACATCAACATACCTTCCGATCTGAAATTGTTCTCTGAGTATGTCTTATGTTCCTGCGTTATTTCTCCTTTTAGGCTGGATCCATGATGGAGCACCTGCCTTTCATAAGAAGAGCCCTCTGAATAATTTGGAAGACCACCTTTTGATCTAGCAATGCTTTCATCTTTAGAATCACCAAGTGCAAGGGGTAAATCTTCTCTACTGCCTGCTAAAACAAAACAGTTCCAACACAAGTCAATTCCCACTTGAAAGGATCATGCACGTATAGTTTTTAAATATCTTGAACCAGCAAAACTACCAAGCTTGGGTCTTCTTGACTGTGTAAAATCATTTGGGTTCCTTCCATCTTTAGAAGTCTGGGGTGCACCACTACTTACTATATCTCCTTTGTCAATTCCCTTCAAAAGAGACTGCACAAACAAAAAATATTCAAATGCATGGACAAAAGCATCAGAAGCAATCAAAAAATAATACAATGGATCTGCATTACCATTTCCTCAGAATTCGGTGCACAAAGTGCCAGAGGCTCCAATGGTTCATCCACCGCAAGAGAGCTCACTTCTATAAACCCATCAACTGGTTTTTGATATGATTTCATATCAGCCTTCCTGTATACATCAAGCAGCTTCGTCCTACTATACCTTAATGGATAAGGCTCTCCATGTTCACTTTCAACTTTGTCCAATACAGTTCCTATAGACTGAGGAATAGTAGGACTGCTGTTCATAAAGCCTCCACCAGAGCTACCCCTTCCACGACCAAGAGAAAAGCTGGGAGGTGTAATTTCTCCACGCCCCCAATTAGATGAATGTGTAGGAGCATGCTTGTTTGCTGATAAAGTCTGGTTATAAGAAGGATCTCCCCTTCCCCGGGCTTGGGAGGAGTTTGATCTCCAAGGTCGGTAGTGATCCCCATCTTTCTCATCCTTTACATGATTTCCAACATGAGACAAACTCTTATCAAGATGCAGACCATCTCTACCAGAGTCTGCCCACTTGTCAGGAAAACCTTCTGCCTCCTTGTCATTAGGCCCCCAGCGTGTGTTCCATTTGCTCTCTCGCCGTTGCTCATAATTGGATTCCTTGTTACTTGAGTCAGTCCACCGCTCAGGTGGGGCACGACGTGCTTCTCCAAAGTGCTTTGCAGATGAATTTTCCATCCATCGATCCATCCTGCGAGTGTCACCAACTTCTTTATCCCCATCCCTCCAACGATCTTTGCGTCCTGAGGAGTTGGTGTCTCTTTCTTCATCACGCCAGCATTCACGACGACCACCAGCTTCCATATCCATCAAAGATGGCCTGAAAACATCCTTCTTCTGGGTATCACGAATTTCATCACCATTACCTGATGATTTCGTGGTATCCAAGCGACTGCCAAAGGATGGATTTGGGCTGGGAGGTTTTTCCTGCACTTATTTTTAAGAAATAAATAACAGAGAAACTCCGAAGCAATATTCCGATCTTATTTTGATAACTAAGATAGAAGTGCATACTAATTGGAATAAATGTAACAAAATTTTCTTCTGAAACCAAGCAGCAATTGAGGTAAGCAGATTAATATACAATTATGAAAGAGACGATAACACACCCCAGTTAACATTCCTGTCTTACTCTCCCCCGGCTTAGGTAGAAGCCACTGCGGTGAAAGGGGAATAAGATTCTCAGAACCTTGTCCACCTGTGTACACCAGAAATAAACACAATTTAGAATTATATGAGAATTACCAAACAAATCCAACTAGAATTACAGTTATTTGGTGAAGCACAATTATTCCAAAGAAAAGGGAAGAAAAAAATCCGAAACATGATTGAATGAAGAAATATTATAACATTACTTATCGAAATCAATCAAAATATGAATTGAGAAAGGCTTGTCAAAACTGGAAATTTGATAAAGTTTATGATTCAAATTACTACTACAACCGGCAACCATGGGAAATTGTTATGGTGAACCATATTACGATATTCCTGCTACATCCTCATTGAATTCATAATTTATTTGTTCCGACCAATAAACGGGAAAATGTAAAATCGAATTTAAAGGCCCTAAGAAAATTAATTGCATTTACCAATATTAATCAAAACCCTAGGAACAAAATATTTATCAAAACCCTAACTACGAAATATTTATCAAAACCCTAAACTCGGCTACGAAAAACATCAACGCCAATACGAACAGCAACGAAAACGATAAATGTGCGAGCTATTTATCAGAACCGACGCATAAATCTACGGTTTTTTTGTCGAAAATCGGAGGGTGGAGGCGAAATGCGAAAAATCAAGACGGCAAAGGAGGCCGAGGGAGGAAATACCTTTGGAGATCTGGGGCGGAGTGGTGACGGAGAGATGGCGGCGAGAGGCTGAGCTGGAGAGGTCGGCCATGGATGATCAGTTGAAGTTGCAGAGAGCGAGCAAGCCAAAGAAACCCTTTTGCGTTTTGATAGTGAGGTAAGATTAGGGAGAATGCGAAGGGTGGGAAATAAGGGCAACAAAAAAAGAAGGGAGATAAATGTGAGAGGGGTAGATTCGGGATTTTGACCAAGCGGCTCACGTTAGCAAACCATTGATTTGTTGTCTCACACATCACCCTATACTTTAACACTGTTGAAAGAATGCATCATTGCTTTTTACTCAAACACTTTTAACTTTTACTAAATTTGATTAATGGTTTTTTAATTAAAAATTCGTGATCATTAAACCCTTACTCATCAAAATGTACATTTATGGTATTTTTTTGTCAAATTCATTAGAACTTCCTTAAAAAATAAGTCACATGCCACGAATGTGAAGCTGAATATAGGACCAAATATTGAAAACCAAATGAAAAAAACTATTGCAAGGATCCCTTAATTTTAACCTAATTTGAGAAATGACCCTATACTTTAACTCAGTTTGAGCAATAATTCTTCAACTTTAATTTAATTGTAGTAATGGTCTTTCCACCATAACTCATTTTGACGGGTGTTCTAACTGAGTTGACGAAAACGACGATAGATGCACGTTTTGATGAATTAAATGACCAATGGTCATGGATTTTATTTGATAGATCATTGCTCTAATTTGATTAAAGTTGATGGACTATTGCCACAATTTTCTCCAAATATTATTCACCCGCATCGAGTAAATTAGAGTTTAAATCTTCTGTATTTATTTGTGTGTGTTATTTGTGACCTCTATTATTAATTGACATTTATTAAGGGAGCTGTTATTGGCATTACCAAAATCTCAATTCATACTCCTATATTTTTTACTTAACTATTTTAATTCTTTTAATGTGATTTCCGATTTTGCCCTTATATTGTTTTTAACGTGCACAAAATTTTGAAAACCTCATTAAGTATAATTTTGATGACTTAAATAAATTGGTGGGAATGCTTAGATTTTGAGCATGTTTTTCTTTTCTTTAAAGCCTCACTAATCTTTCATTTGAAATTGATTTTGCGTACGAAAAAAAATTGGAGGGATTTATGGTAGATTTATTTATTTATTTTTTTCCAGATTTGCTCCAGTAATGAAAAAAATTGATACAAAATAGACCAGAAACAATGATCCCATATTTGAATTTCTACACAAAAGAACCATGAGTTCAATACAATAATATAACCCATGACACAAAAGAGAGAACAATTTCCAAAGTCTGAACGCTATTACTAGAATCCCAAATAGATCCATGAAAAAAAATCAAAGGGAAACAAAATATGATAAAATATAATTTGAATTTCAAATCGTATAACAAACAACAGTCAATGTAAGTAAAATCCAAAGCAGCAGCCAGCAACCCAATGGAAAAAAAAAACTCCAAAACTTAATTTCCCGGGAAAACAATGAAAAACGAAAAACGAGTTGGAAGTTGTAAGTAGGCTCATTGTTTATGGTAGATTTGATACAGAAACGAACAAAATTATACAAAATAAAATTGTTGTTAAGCAAAGGCAACAAGTAATCTTTCTAAAATAGAACATAATAGCTGTGGTGTCTTAGTTCGTATCTTGAACATCATAACGAGAAATAATCTCATGTTTTTTCCTTTTTGAAATTTTAACCATGGAAAAATTAAACAATTCACAATAACTAAACATAACATCCAAACAATCTTAAAAAAGAGAGTTCCATTGAATTGTTCTCGATCATGTCCAAATTCTCTGTATGGATTTCAACAGCTTAGATATATATATATGTGTTCATAATGGTTGTGTTAGCCACATAAGCCTGAAGCATGTTTCCATAATCCATTTTCATGATAATCACACTCTAATTCTTATGTAGGCCTTAGAGTCTTTTGCACATAAGGTCTACTGGAAAACCTCAAAGTAAATGAGAAATTTTTAGTTATGACGGGAATACGGATGGTACACCACGTGTTTTTATGTAAGTGGTGGGAAATTTTATTTTTTAAGTTATTAACTTTGTAAAACACATATCTCACAATTTATATAGGGACACGTGGTGTACCACTCCGTGTGACGGTCACATTGAAAATCTCTCCAAAGTAAACAATTGTAAAGCCAACTTGCTTCTAGAGCACAAAAGGTCTTTACAACTCCCTATAAATATTTATGTCATCATACTTAATGAGGTTTTCAAGATTGTAGACTTTAAAAGTAATATAAGGGTAAAATCGAGAAATCACATTAAAAGAATTAAAATAGATAAATTAAAAATATAGAAGGAGTGTGGATTGAGATTATGAGAGTGCCAATAACAGCCCCTTTATTAATTAACTTAACTTTTTTTAATTTTGTTGTCATAAACTTAATAATTGTCAATTTATGATAGAGACTACACACAAAATATGTGCAGAAAATTTGATCTCAGTAAATTACACGCTTTTGTATGTTTATTGTTCCATAAAGAAAATGTAAAAAGAAAAAACACAAGTACAAAAGTAAGATTCCGATTGGTGCCACGTGATACAATAGTTTTTCAATTTTTTTTTACTGTTGAATTATTAGACCAACTCCGCCTATGTCTTACATGGCCGGTCCCAAGCCCGGATAAAGGAGGAGGGGGAGGGCGTCAGGTAGTCGACAGCCGGCACTCCATGATCACGTCGAATCCTTATGAAAATGAATCCAGAACAAAATCGCGCTAAAGCTAGGGCGTCACCCGTAAGTGGCGCGCTGTGTGGCCCGAGCACAGTGATAAGTGAGCAAGGGTCGCTGTATCTCCATCGGCACCCGGATGCAGTGTTAAATGAGCAAGGGGGCCATAGAAACTTCTTTTCGAACGACTCCACTCAAAGTTGTTTGGGAGCATATGCTCCTATCAACTTTACCCGGGACACACAAAAGAAGTACTTTGATCCTATTAGACGGGGGAGGGTGAAGAAGCTAGGACAGAAGGGTAGAGTTCAAGAGAGCAAAATGCGTTTAGGAACGTGGAATATAGGAACCTTAACGGGAAAATCTATGGAAGTAGTGGAAGTTATGGTGAGGAGAAGGATAAATAGTATGTGCCTACAAGAAACTAAGTGGGTTGGTAGTAAGGCAAAGGATCTAGAAAACTCAGGGTTTAAACTTTGGTATTCGGGCACAAATAGAACGAGAAACGGTGTTGGCATCATCGTGGACAAGACCTTGGTACAAGATGTTGTAGATGTCAAGAGGGTAGGAGATAGAATCATGGCAATCAAGATTGTAATAGGACAAGAACTTATCAATGTGATTAGTGCGTACGCACCTCAAGTAGGGTTGGATACGAGTTCGAAGGAGAAATTTTGGGAAGATCTTGGAGACTTGGTGCAAGGAATTGCTCAGACGGAGAAGTTATTTATAGGAGGAGATTTAAATGGACACGTGGGCAGGGAGACAGGCAACTATGGAGGTTTTCATGGTGGCCATGGTTTTGGGGAGAGAAACGAGGATGGGGAAGCTATCTTGGATTTTGCAATGGCATATGATCTCTTCTTAGCCAACACCTTCTTTAAGAAGAGAGAAGAACATGTGATCACCTACAAGAGTGGGTCGTCAAAAACACAAATAGATTTTCTTCTAATGAGGAAAGGGGATCGTATAACTTGTAAGGATTGCAAAGTTATACCAGGAGAGAGCGTGGCTAATCAACATCGCTTGTTGGTGATGGATGTACATATCAAAAGAGTAAGACAAAAGAACAAGACTTGGAAGTGCCCAAGGACTAGATGGTGGAATCTAAAAGAAGAAAAACAAGTTATTTTCAAAGAGAAGGTAATCACCCAATGTGTGTGGGATAGAGAGGGGGAAGCTAGCCAAATGTGGGATTCCATGGCTAGTTGTATCCGAAAAGTAGCAAAAGAGGTATTAGGAGAGTCCAAGGGCTTTGCCCCACACCAAAAGGAATCTTGGTGGTGGAATGAGGAGGTACAAACAAAGGTGAAAGCTAAGAAGGAATGTTGTAAAGCCTTATACAAGGAGAGGACCGATGAAAATGGTGAAAGGTATAGAAAAGCGAAGCAAGAGGCGAAGAAAGCTGTCAGAGAAGCTAAGTTAGCGGCTTACGATGATATGTATAAACGACTAGATACCAAAGAAGGAGAGTTGGATATCTATAAACTATCTAGAGCAAGGGAAAAGAAGACAAGGGACCTAAACCAAGTGAGGTGCATCAAGGATGAGGATGGAAAGGTTCTTGCTACAGAGAACGCGGTTAAAGACAGATGGAGAGGTTATTTTCATAATCTTTTCAATGAACGACATGAAATGAGTGCTTCTTTAGGGGAGTTGAGTAACTCAGAAGAGTGTAGAAACTACTCTTTTTATCGTCGAATCCGGAAGGAAGAAGTGGTTGTAGCTTTGAAGAAGATGAAGCATAAAAAAGCAATAGGCCCAGACAATATACCAATCGAAGTGTGGAAACTTTTGGGAGAGACAGGTATAACATGGCTCACTGACCTTTTCAATAGGATTTTGAAAACGAAGAAGATGCCAAATGAGTGGCGAACGAGCACTTTGGTGCCTATCTACAAGAATAAGGGCGACGTACAAAATTGCATGAACTATAGGGGTATTAAGCTAATGAGTCATACAATGAAGCTCTGGGAGAGAGTCATTGAGCATAGATTGAGGCAAGAGACACGGGTTTCGGACAACCAATTCGGGTTCATGCCAGGGCGCTCAACCATGGAGGCAATCTATCTCTTACGAAGATTGATGGAAAGATATAGAGATGGGAAAAAGGATTTACACATGGTCTTTATAGATTTGGAAAAAGCGTATGATAGGGTCCCAAGAGACATTCTTTAGAGGATTTTAGAGAAGAAAGGAGTACGAGTAGCATATATCCAAGCTATAAAGGATATGTATGAAGGAGCAAAGACTGCCGTAAGAACTCATGAAGGACAAACCGAAAGCTTTCCCATAACTGTAGGATTACATCAAGGCTCATCCTTAAGTCCTTACCTTTTTGCGTTGGTAATGGATGAGTTAACAGGACATATTCAAGATGATATTCCTTGGTGTATGCTTTTCGCAGACGATATAGTGTTGATAGATGAAACTCAGGAA